GAGCTGTTCACCTCTGCAGCCCTACTAGCTGCTTTTGTCAGTTCAGATAAAGTCCGTGTTTTTTAGGTGTGCATTACTGATTATCAAACTTCGGTTGACTGCAGCTTGTATCTGATTTTATTTGGTGGAATAACAGTAGAGGGGGGAAGAGTACAAGAGCAGGTCCCATTTTTAGGAATTTGTTTTTGTAGGGAATAATGTTGAAAACAAAAGTGTCGATGAATCTTTAAAAACTCTTCAGTTTCATGTAAAATTGAGGCTTTAAAATTTAAACATTTTGGTTGTAAGGCCAACTTACAACCAAAATCTAAGTTGGCCTTAAATACGTCGACTATTTAATCTCGTATTCAGTTTCAGATTCACTTTATTTTGGTAAGTTAACATCATTATTAAAAAAACTTTACAAACCAATAATTTACTAAAAGCAGGATAGGAAGCCAGGGTTTATGCTTGCTCACCATTTATATGCTTTATGTATTTCTTTTTCCTCTCAGGACTTTTCTGTCAGGCAAAAGTTCGAGCCGCACTCAGACATCTTCACTGCGTTGTGGTACTCAAAGCAGTTGATGCTACCGCTAACTAGATGCTAATGTCCCCTCGCTAATGGACGCACACAAAACCAGCTTTTGTGTGCGTCTGTCGTGGGCGATGGGGAGGGAGCTACGGCAACAGCGACAGACCAAAACCCAACACACGGGTTGCGACAGCGTCTAAAGTTGAACATTTTTCAAATTTCTCATGTTATGTCGCTAACCCGCGTTAGTACGTCTACGTGTACAAGTGCAAAACTTTGTATTGATGAATGTCACGGGTGTTTTGGCTGGAGGAGGGAAAGCCATTGTTGCCTCATCATGTATGTTCTATAGAGAGGGAGGGAGAGACGTCGCCTCCCTTGTGTGTTGAGCCCAAATTTATCGACAGTTGTCTGGACAACGCTCGTTTTTATAATTTTCTCACTTCCTTTGCCAAGCCGTACAGGATGCGTTCTGTGCAACACAACAACAAAAAAAAACAAACCTTAGGCTCAGCATTATGGTTGTAGAGAGTTGGACGCTATTTGACAAACACAAACTAACCAGAAGACTTTAACAATTTTTGCTATGATTGATTGTAATTTAGCAGAATCACACAACCATCTCTTATATTTATAATTTTTTGCTCTTAAATTTCAATTAAGGCGTCATTAAGAGGTCTTAAATGCAGATGCCCTGTTCTGTTGGTCAGCTTTTTAAACGGGCCAAAATGCAAATATTTCCTTGTGGAATATAGGAGTGGACATTTATCATATAGGTTATCATTTACCGTGATCAGTTTCCCATCATGATAAAATAAGTTTTGATTTATCATTGTCATGAAAAATTCCAATTTAATGACGCCTTAAAAAATTCACATGGTCAGAATTGTTAGTTTTTGCTACTGTTTTCTCAATGAGAGAATCAATAAAATTACTAATAAATTTCTAAAATGATTAAATGCAGTTGATGTGAGCAGCTTTGTCCCACTTCCTCATGTGACTTTTTGTGTTTGTGGAGGTGTGATTGCTGTGTCATGCAGTCACTGTCTTACATTTACCTAAAAAGAAAAAATTAGCGCAATAGTACCAGAAATTATCACGATTGGTAGTCCTTAACTTTCTGGCATCAACTCTGTGTGTGTTTCCTCTCGGTGTGTGTTGGTGGGTTATTGTCATGATTGAAGCACGAATTACCTTGCACGGTGGATATTCTGGCTGGCCGAGTAGAGGGGGGAGGGATCAGAGGACACAACGTCTCTCAGAGGAGTTGCTGTTGACCCCTGACCTCTCTGGTTGAACCTGCAGGGCGGTGGGCACTGCGAGGTCCGTCCGGTTCGGGGGGCACAGGATGGCAGCTGAGGGGTGTGAGGTGGTGAAATGTCTAATCTTTTTTTTGTCTGCTAGGCGTTTTCACCCCCCCCTTCATCCTCTTCCTCCTCCTCCGCTCTTCCTCTGAGAACAGAGTTTGAGCGACAGGACAATGTCAAAGGGAAGTGACTTATTTTATGAGCCGTTTAAAGGGGTGACGCCACCCCCCCACCCCAACAAAACAAAGGAGATGCGGCGGAGCAAATGAACGCCTCGACATGCAGTCGCATGTTTGTTTACAGCAAGCCGGCGTCTTGTTCGCTGCGCCATAAATGGCACTTTTCCCTCTCCTAAGTGACACCGGAACAATGCCGTGGCACTTTGTCTCGTTAGTTCCTAAATTACTGGGGAAACCAGAAAGCGGGAGCGAGAGAGACCCTCAGCCCCCGAAGGGATTCCTGTAGTAAACCAGAGAGCCGGTTCAGACATCACACAGGACTATTCATGTCAGAGGCGGTTCACAACAACTGATGCATTAACCAAAAAAAAAAAAAAAGGCTTTGAAGCTGAAATGTCTGCATGATTTTTTTTTTCTTTCTCAGAAGACCTGTTATTATTTCATTCTGAGGGGAAAAAACAGTTCATCTTCCAGTCTTACCTCGTCAAGAAGCGAATCCTTTGAGGTAACAGTGTCACATGTGTGCAGACATTCCTGTGAAATACTGACCATCTCAACTTTTATTTGTGTACTTTGGTAACTAGGGCTATTTTCCACATGGATATAGCCTTCGGATTGTGCGCTTTTGCTGTGGGCAAGCAGGGGGCCCCGCTAGAGGAGAGACTGGCTGGCTGTTTCACCTAAAACTCTTAAGTGTGTGTGTGTGTGTGTCCCTGCACCTCCAATCAGGAGTGCACAAAGAGCCGTGTGTCGAGTAGTGATGTGATGTGCGAATGTGTTTTGGTAGGCGCTGCCAACTGTGCCGGGGTGTGTGTGTGCGTGTGTGTGTTGGAAGCAGAGGGATGGGCCTGAGGAGAGCTTTGAGAGGGATGAAGTGACTGGAGGCTTTTTTGGATTTGGTCCCAGACTGAGGGGTCCAGTTCGTGGCGCCATGGTGCATCCCTCCCTCCGCTCGGCTGTTTGAATACTTGTATTGCTGGAAGTTGTTTAAAATCCTACAAAGTGGTATTAGAGGAAAACCAGAGAAATTACATATATATATGTGTACATGCCTTCTCTGTCCAGGTAGAGACAACATTAGTTTAATCTACAGGATCTTGCAAAAATATCCACACCCCGTTAACCTATTCACGGTTTTTTGAGCTTCCAACTACAGACGTCAGTGTGTATTATTGGGATTGTGTGACACAGAAACGCAGCTTGAATTAATGGTGAAATGTAAGAAAGTGAAAAGTGTCTTGGATTTGTTTTTAATAGATCTCTATTCATGCTGACACAGCTAAATGAAATCTAGTGCAACCAGTTGCCTTCAAATTAGGGCTGCAACTAACTTTAGTCGATTATCTCCTTTTTTTTCCTATTGACTATTCTGACGAGTCAAATTAAAAAATTAAGCAAGTGTGTGTGTATATATGTAATATCCACTTTTAAATTTCATTATTTTTTATCTTAAAACTAGAAGTAAAACGCTGTCTACAAAAATTACAAGTAATTTCCTAAAGTAGAGATTTCTTATTTTTCTCCAAAAAAGTCTTGACATTCGCGGTCTTCAACCCGTTTTATTTGTTCTGCCCTGAGAGCAAAATGTCCGTTTTGGTTGTAGAGGTTGCAGACCTCTCCTCTAAACCATAATTCTTTCCAGTAAAAAAAAAAAAGAAAAAATGATGCACTACTTTGTTTTGCTCCGTCATAAAATCCTGTGAAGTTTTTCCTCGTAATGCGACAAACGACGTAGAGCTTCAGAAGCTGACCTAGAGCCAGATCAAAGGAGGACAGTGTTGCTTCAATACGGCCGAAACACGCCAAAGCATAAAGTCATAGAAATGTTCCTGCAGACGGCGAGCGAGAACAAGCCGGCGGGGGAAACCAAAGAGATGGCTGGTGCTGAGACGCAGTGAAAGGATCCCTGTGTTCTCTGAAATTCCAGCAGCTACGTTTAAAACAAAACATTATTCCAGCTGTGCCGCTACGTTCGTCCTCCCGTGAACCTCTGTGCGGGTCGACGTTCAACTCGATGAAGCGGACGACTCGTTCGTGGTCAAACGCAGTATTTACGTCGAGACGTAGCAAAACCATTGCGCAAAACGGTCTCTGGCTCCAGTTTGTTCCCATGTCAATACAAATGTTGACCATTGATCAGTGGGGGGGAAAACATTTCTGCATTTTTGTCTGCCAGCAGAGTGAGAGTTTAGTTTTTTTTTTGTTTGTTTACAGAAACAGATTAGAAGACCTAACAGTCCATGACCCGAGGGCTGTTAGGAAATCGGACACATTGGCCTGTGAAAGATATTTTTAAGATCTTGATTTAATGGATGGCAGTCGAAAGCCAAAAGCCAGAGATGGTGGGGAAAACTAAGCATTTAAGGTACAAGCATCTCAATATGCCTGAGGCTGAAATTGGACATCTAACCTGCAAAGTGGGTGAGGAGTTAATCCAGAGAGCTCTCTTTAAACCTGTTTCAGAAGGACCCAACACTCAGAAAAGAGCTCCAGCACTAAACTATTAATCAAGACTGAGGAGGGCCGGGATAAGAGGCCTGCTCTGTGAAGTGGGCCAGCTTAAGGCTGCTGTGCTGAGTGTTACAATTAGGAGCGTTGAAGGGGGCTAAACAGCCAAGGTGCGTTTGATTTGGTGAAGGGTGAAGCCCCTCACCTAGCTCCTTGAAGTCTAGACCCAAAAAAGGAATCTAGACCTATTTGTTCCCCACCGAGTTGTCTCTCTTTTTGTGTCTTTCTTTGTTTTTCTGTCTATCTTCCTGTCTTTGTCTCCTGTCTTTTTGACTTCCTGTCTGTCTTTAAAATTGTTAATCAGTCATTTTGGATCAGGCTCAGATAAAATCCCTGGATTGGATTTTTTCAGGCCTGATCTAAACTCCGTTGTAATGTGACAAAAAGTTAACAGGTCCAAGACGTATGACGGTGTTTGTTCCAGACGATGATTGGTTGAACAGTGTGTGTTGTTGGTGTCTGAGTCTCACTGTAGCGTCTGGTGTGTTGCAGGAGCGCCGCTGAAGGTGTGTCCGCAGGGTCTCTCCTGCTGCACGGCCGAGATGGAGGACAAGCTGAGCCAGCAGAGCCACACGGAGATCAAAGCTCCCGTGTCCCGGCTTAGCACCACCCTACAATCCACCTTCAAACAGAGACACGACCACTTTGACAGTAAGCAAACACTCTTACACAAACACACACACCGCGTTTACACCAGCAGCTCGTTGGCCCACTGCGCGCCACCGTCCCTGTGTTGCGGTAGTCGTGCTGAGCGATTTTTGAAGGACGCCTCCACCTGCCAGCCCACTTCTCAAAGACAGTAGGGTCTGTGTTTGCTGGCCTGTCCACCTGTCTCCCACCGTCTTACTTCCAAACCCCCCTGACCCCAAACGTCGTGCCTACTTCCCTTCTCGTCTCTTCCCTTCCCTTCTCTCTCCAGAGAGACTCCAGACGGACCACACACATCTTCAGATTTTGTCTTGCCTGTACTTCCTGTTCCTCCGCCTGTAAATATCGGGATCGGGTTTCGCCTGCCGAGGGCCAGCGCGCATGGGAACACGCCGCAGCGCTGACTCACAGAGGAAGCGGCTCGGCTCCGAAAGCCCCTCCACCCCCCAGCCTTTACCCCCCACTGCATCGCCGTGGAGTCCCTCCGCTACGACGACGAGGATCCCAGTATGACTGACTGGAGAACAGGGGAACACATTTGATCTCTGGCGCTGGAATTTGGCTCGTTAAGGGGAACACAGTTTGGCGGAGTGTTGTGTGCGCATATGTTCCTGCGCGTTTGCAGGTCAGGGACCTCGGGATCTTATGTGTCTGTGAAAGGCAGCGAGAGATGGTCGGTAACAGGGAGCTTGTGTATTGCAGCCAGATGTTAGGAGGAATGTGACGTGTAGGAATGCGGCGGCTCGGCCAGTCCCAACCCTCCTCTCCTCCTCTCCTGCTGCCCTATGGGCCCATCTCATGCCTCTCTCCTAAGCACCCACCCCCTTCTTCATTTTTTTTATTTTTTTTACCCTTTCCATCCAACTTGTTCAAATTAAACTTTACACTTTGTGTGTTAATGTATGCTCTCCTGTCTGTGTCCTCCACCCTTCTCCCTTCGTCTTCTGGCAGTTTGAAGGAATATTTTAGGCCTGACTTCACTGGCTGATCCATCCATCATTTACTGTTTTAATAATTTGTCCAATGAGAAAATAACCTGATTTATTGGGAAACCCCCTACGATGGGATTCAAAAGCAGATGTCACCAGATTTCTTCTCGACTTTCCCCTGAAGCTTCTGTGTGTAACTTGTATAAGAAACGGGGCTTTTACATATTTATTCCTCTCACTGCTTCTATTGCCGTTTGAAAAGATGCACCGCTTCCGGTCAAAAACAACCAATTAGAGCCCGGAGGAGGGTCTCCACGCTGTCAATCAATCTTGTGTACGCGGTGATAAATGTGCTATTGGCAGATAAACGGAAAAACTGTCTGTCATCATCGGCGACCATGCTAAGTAGAGTTAGCATTCATAGCAAGCTTAGCTTTGTTGTGCTACTCGCCATAGAGTAAGTAAGCAACACCTTAAAATTTAAATAGCAGAAGGAGCTTCAGCTTTTTTCTTCTTTTTTTTTTTAAACCTATGCGCCTTCAGCAGGAAACATTGCCACACTTTTCTGAATGCGTTCACTCAGCTGTGAACTCGGCAAACTTAAGCAAATGATCACATCAGTTCTGTTGATTTGTAAGCTCTCTTCACATAAATCCTGCAGCGACTTATATAAACTAAAACTGACATTTGGTCCAGAATCAGAGGCAACTTTCGGCACTGAAGCCCAAATGGACATCCAGTCTCGACTTGTCCAACACCTGTGCAGAGAGCAAAGCTCGACTACACAAAAAAGAGACGATTACAAGAAAAAAACAATGTTCTCATGACACTGTCGTCTGTATTATTACTAATAAATTGTGTGTTCAAGTGTTTAGCTGACTTTGTTTAGATTTAATACATCAGAGTCACTTAAGCATCTGTGTTTCATTTACAGCTAAGCAGGCGTGGGACCATACAGATTCTCATGGGGTGATAACCTCGTGAAAACATGGCCGAGTTTCAGAGTGGGGGTACTTGCATAAAATATCAACAAAAGTAAAAAAAAAAAAGAAAAACAAAAGTTGTTCCCACTAAAATAACATTTTATTGCAGTAAATTGGATGCGTCTGTACCTAGCTGATTTTTAAGAATAGGAAAATGGCAACTAATGCTTGTTGGAAAAACATCATTTTGGATCTTCTGCTGTTTATCGAGTTGATATTTGCCAGAAGTTGCCAGTTTTAACTTACAGAAAGTAACAGCCATGACTGACTAGGAATGTTTCCAAACAGCTGAGTTCATCTGTGATAAGTCACGGGGGGAAATGTTGCAGCGCTCCTTTAGCCAGACGCCCAGCGGTATGCAGCCAGACGCTGCTGCGCAGGCAGGAATGGATGATAAAGTTGTTCAAACGTGGCACGGCTTGGAGAGGTTACCATTCTGGGGATGGGCGATATGGACTTAGAATTTGATCTGAGTATTTTGTAATGCTACTGTGATAAAGATTATGAGGGAAAAGAAACCATTTGGCAGTTATTACATTATAGTTTCACTGCACTTCATTCATAATGCCACACATACAAATGTCCTTAAAATAAATTCTCATATGGACGCTTCTCCAGGACGCCACTTACTTAAGAGTGTGTTTTATATCTCTAAACTGCACGCAGTAACTCCTTTGGATCATATTTTCTAATTCACTGATATTTATTGATACTTCCACAACTTTGACAAGTTGTGGAAGCTACAACTTATCAAATTTAGTGACTTCTCAGACAAAAAAAATCTGTTTTGGACAAAATTGTAACTGACCCAGTTGGGCTTTTTAAAGATCTGTGATCGGACAGATCATGTCGCCTCTTGCAGAGTCGATGATAAAATGCACCAATCCATAGGATAAAGACTGGAAATTCAAATACTTGAAATTGATCAAATTGATTAATGACTCAAAACAAAAAACTAACAGAATTATTGTGCCGTAAACACATTTTTTTTTAAAGCACTTTAAGTTTTAGAAAAATCAGAGGAAGGTTTGAGACATAATTCGAGTACCACAGAACCTACGGCAAAGCCTGCCACAATGAATCAATTAATTGCATGACAAAATAAAACGAGCTCAATAATTTCCATTTGTCTGATTGTTTATTTTTCTCGTCTCTAGACTGGATGACTAAAGTCTTCAGTCTGGTGCATCGGTCTGAAGTTGCCCCTTTTTGCAGAGACTTCAGTATCCATTTTATTTGTTGTTTCAAGTAAATAGTTTTTGTTTAATGGCATCTGACATATTCTAGTGTTAAGTTTGCTAGAAATTAAAATGTATTGATCTTTGAGAGGATGTCCTTACATTATTATCCCTTTATTGATATACAACTCCAAAATGGTCTCAAAACAATATCATTTATCGCAATAACTTTGGAAGAGTTTATCGTCCGCCAAAATTTATCGTGACAGACTAAACTACAGGATTTTTCCCCCTCATTTTTCTGTTTTACTTCTTCAGTAAAACATTTGACCTCGGGCGAGCTGGAAAGCCTGATCTGTCCATGTGTTGTAGCCAAGGATCTACATTTCTCAATAACGGTTGATAGCAAATACATGTGAGGCCTGATATTCCACAGTGACCCTTCACTGATGGACAGGCCCAACTAAATAAAGCCTCAGAGTTTGACAGCGCTGGGTTAGGTGCTAAATAAGTCAGAGGGGACGTGCCTTCCACATGTTTCAGCCAGACAGATGTCAGCTTTCGGTGTACAAGGGCCAAAACACTGAAGCTAAATAGTTTCATTGAGTCCCTGCGGATTGTTTCGCTGCATTGGCTGCCGTCTCCTTTACCCGACCGGTCGAACTTGATTCCTAACGTCTCCCTCCAGTCGGGACAGTGGAAGTCTTCACCCCGGTGGTGACGATACCGGCCAGAGCAGGAAGGGGAAGCGTGTTCGCATGAACACGGCTACGTGAAGGTGGACAAACTCGGGAAGCAGTGATTAGGTCGGCTCTCGTCACGCGCCCCAGAGCGAGGAGTCACAGCCAATTACGACCCGAAGCCAGAAATAGTTCTGCTCTGCTCCACGGTGTTTGTCCTGGCCTCAGACCCTCTGTCCCTGCTGGACTGACCCCCGTCCAGCGGAGCAAGTCCATGTCTGGGAATTAAACACTTGGATTAAGACACACACACACACACACACACACACACACACACGGAGCGGGGCGTTCCAACAGCAGGAGGGACGGAATCCCATCCCATCCGAAAAAGAGGGGGGGGAAGGAGCTCAACGACTAATTGGCACAAATAGGATGCAATTACTGCCTGGACTGGGACTGGGAGGAGCAGGGTTTATAAGGCCACCAGTGGGTGGTGCGGTGGTGTGGGACAGGGGGGAAGTGGGAATCTCCACGCTGGAGGAAGTGGGAGGAGATGGGTCAGCTTCTCTATTCCTGTGATGGATCGTTGCTCGTCTCCGCTACATGCCGAAACGCTGACGGTCGAGGTTATATGAAAGAGGGGGAAGTGGAGGGGGTTGATACTCAGACGCCATCCGCCCCGTACCCCCTCTCTATGCTGTTTGACCCTTCACCCATATTCTCTCACACTGCTGGCTGAGCCACAAGTGCTGTTTTAATGGAAAAGCTCCTGAGCGCCTCGGCCTGTTGGCAGACGGCTCCGTGTTGTAAACTGAGTTTTAATGGCAGCACAAGAAGCCTGGTTAGCGCTGCTCATAGATCTGGCCAGAAGATCTTAGTGCTGACACACACACAGTCATGTGTCTCTATTTTTGTGGAGACTTTCCATTGACTTTCATTCATTTCAGTAAAGCCTAACCCAGACATTTCCCCCGACCATTACTAACAAATACCTAACCCTAAAAGCAGAGCGCCGATCTACTCGGTGTAATTCTATCTTTTGTGCTCTGAGCGACGTTGGGTTTTATTTTTTTATGTTTAATTCCTTATTTCACTTCCTGAGCCATTTGAAAGAAGGTTCATTATTCACAGTAATGAATAATAAATAATGAATAATAATAAAAACAACATGAAAGTTGGTTTTACATGTTTGACCAAGCTTGTGAAGCCATTGGTGTATTTAAGAATGCTTTACTGAAATTCAGTACATTTGTCTGTATTTAAAAAGTCAAAGGCTTGTAGTCAATCCAGCAGTTTTTCAGCCAATACTAAACCTCAGATATCTGTCAGTTGTGTCAGAAGTGATATCTGTCTTTCACTTTACTACCATTCTTTTCTTCCTACTTCTTCCTTCTCGGTAATTCCAGTTCATTCTTTCCTTCTTTCATTCCTTCCTTGCTATTCCTTTCTTCTTTTGTCACTCTTCCTTCTTTCCTCATTGTCCCTCTCTCCCTGCCTTCCTTCTTTCACTCCCTTCCTTCAGACTTTTCTGTGGGTCTCTTGCGTTCTCAAACAAGTTCCAAGTTCCAAGTTCAAACAAGTGGAAATGCCTTGGACCCAGGACATAAACCGCTGCGATGCATCATCTTCCAGCTCAGTGTTTTCCACTGACATTCAACTTGTGCCTACTGTGACATTCCAGTGATGGGGGTGGACCGTTTAGTTTTAATCTTTGTCAGTGGAGCGTAGAACTTGGTGCCCTCTCCCCTGGCTCTACGTGTGTGTGTGTTGGAGGAGAGGGTCTGCGGTGGTGGTGCGGAGGTAAATGGAGGGGCTGCAGTGTTTCCGGTAACCTTGGCGACACAGTGGGGATTTGGAGTTAAAAAAAGCCCTCAACTTAACCCGCCCCAAGATGCCCTCACCCCCTCGTCTATCTCATTTTTTTTCTTCTTAATGTGTCAGTCTGAAGTGGAAGTGACAGCACTACTTGGTGTGTGTGTGTGTGTGTGTGTGTGTGTGTGCGCGCGCGTTTTGTGTCTCCCCCTGTGAGAGCATGGGAACTTTACATTTCAAAGCCACGCTGTGGGCACCCAGAGATACTGCAGTGGGACACGAGTTTTATCCACAAGGGTCAGCAAGCGGGTGGGAGGGGGAGGAGAGTGGATTTTAGAAAAAAAAAAACAGTTTGTGTGTGTGTGTGTGTGGAGGGGTGAGGGGGCAGTGTTTGCTTGCATGCGTGTGGAACATAAGGTGAAACATTTTCAGGGACTCTGAGGAATTCTCATTTTGTTCAGATTAAGAAAGTTAAGGGGTGAGGAGGAGGGGTGACCATGGGAGAAGAGGCTTGGATTATGGGTGGCGGTGGTGTGGGGGGTGATGGACATTCCTCAGGATGAAGTAGGTCATTGTTTGCTGTCTCTAGTGAAGAGAGCTCTCTGAAGGAACTGATGAAGTGAAAGCAGCAGAGGGAGGGAGATGCAGGACTGGATGGAGGTGGACAGGGTGTGGGGTGAGGGGGGGATGGAGGCGACAGGTCCATCTATGCAAAGGCGAACCGAGAGGAGGGGGTGGCATTATTCAGTAATCCTATTGAAAAGGCTTCTGAAGGACAGTCCAAGAGAGGTTGGCAGAAAGGGAAAGCGAATGGAATGTGACAACAGAGAAATGCCATTGATGGTGGTCAGTTTACGCACGTTGATGTGGAGAGACAACTCTGCTGAATGGAGAGGCGGCGCGGCGGCCGACATGATGCAGCTCCACCATTTACCGTCCCGTCCCCCTCCTTCGGCCCAGATGCCTTTTAACTATCAGGTTTTGTTGCCGGAGCTGTTGGTGTTTGGACTGTTTTGCTGTCGGGCACAGTCTGCAACGGTGAAGTGAATAAAACGTCGGTCAGGCTTTGAATGATATAAACTCCGGCCAGGTTGTAAGGAGTAACAGATTTGGTGACGGAGTTCTGTTTACTTTACAATTCTGCTGTGCTTTGTGTTGATCTGTCACCCCTATAAAATCCTTTGAAGTTTGTGTTGAGGGACATTTGAAAGGTATGAGTATCTTTTTCCATCATCTTTGAAGAGTGTTGTAAAGAATGCTTTCTAACAACAATGTTCAAGAAGGAATCTGTCATTTTAAACCATTGATTTCCTCATTGGGATCATAAGGGTGCATTCACACCTTCTCTTTTTAGTCCGCTTTAATCGAAGCCTAATCTCATTTGCCTAGAAAGTCTGGTTGGTTTGAAGAGGTGTGAACTCTGATGCGCACCAAAAACATGAAACGTGAATTCTGGTCTACAAACCTCGGTTCGGGTGAAGTGAACGCCGAGCTGACCGAAGACCGCTCCAAAAGCAGGAAACAAACTAAAGTGCAGGACATTCTGGGTAAATACAATCAAAACAAATCTGAGAGTCCAGCTCTAATGGGAGAAATGTCTTGTGGTCTTTTGCCAAAGACAAAACAGCCGCAAAAAATCCAACGCTACTCCGTTTTTGTTTACAGTGCAGTGTGAGAGTGAATCAAAGCAGCTGAAAATGTAACACATGTTGCAGTTTTGGTCCCCAATTGAACTGAGTCTACCAGAGCGTTGGTGGCAATGGTGGTATAAGTTTGTCCCACAGTCGATGGGTTGCCGTTTTGATGCGTCTTTGGGCAAAAGACTAAACCTGCCTCTGGACTTAAAAAGCACTATACACTATACCGGCCATCTACCATTTTTCTGGACTGTCTGGTGTGAAAACACGTCAAGCTGAAACGATGCTCAGATTGCTTCCGTCATGTCGCGTTCTTCTTCTCTCCACAGAGTTCTTTAAGGAGCTCCTGAAAAACTCCCAAACGTCGCTGCACAACATGTTTGTGCGGACCTACGGGATGATGTACATGGACAACGCCCAACTGTTCACGGACTTCTTCACCTCGCTGACCCGCTACTACGTCTCCGGCAGCTCCGCCGTCAACCTGGAATCCATGCTGTCGGACTTCTGGGCCGACCTCCTGGAGAGGATGTTCCGGCTGGTCAACGTCCAGTACGAGTTCAGCGACGCCTACATGGAGTGCGTGAGCCAGCACACAGAGCAGCTGCAGCCCTTCGGCGACGTCCCGCGCAAGATGCGGATCCAGATGACGCGAGCCTTCGTGGCCGCGCGCACCTTCGTGCGAGGCCTCTCCCTCATGCCAGACGTGGTGAATAAGGTGTCCACGGTAAGCGAATGCAGCTTTTTTTTTTGTCTTCACTAAAAAAGGCAGTAGAAGTTGGCCGACCCCTCCCTTTAGAGCCTCTGACTTCATATCTTTTGTGTTTGCGCCAGCTGCGGTTGCAATAGACAGCCAGTCTCAACACAAACCTCTTCACTGTACTGGTTTGACATGTTTTTCCATGTGATTCATTGATGATTAGATTATTCTGCTTGGTGGACCTAGCCTTATAAAATGAAATGTTTAAGCCATTTCCCAGTCCAAGTATGCGTCTTGGATGAGTTTGTCTCGCTGCGGTTCGGTGAAAAACCGCCTTGCTAACAGCCTCCCACCTCCTCCAGGTCAGCGCATCTCCCAGCTGTGTTCGAGCAGCCACGAAGATGTTGTACTGTCCCTACTGCTCCGGCCAAGTGGCCCTGAAGCCCTGCCAGAATTACTGTCTGAACGTGATGCGGGGGTGTTTGGCTAACCAGGCTGACCTGGACACGGAGTGGAACAACTTCCTTGGTAAGAAGACTTCCAACACGACCATAATTCCAGTCTTGTAACCGTAATGTAACCGTAATGGTTTCTGTTTTTATTCCCATTTTCCACCAAAGATTGATAGAAATTGAATCTTCTGTCACAATCTTTAACCTAAACAGGATCGTTTTGTTTGAAGGTCCTCTTTGTTAGACATCTTGCACAAACATGTGGCTTATTTACTGTAATGTAAAGGGAAAGGGAGGGGTGCACATGTGACTGGCTGCAGGATGAAAGCTGTTATTGTTTAGTGTAAACACACTCAGATCTGGTCCATTACATTCAGGGTGGTGCACATCTCCTCTCTTCTCCACTCTGTTTATTATGCTCCACTTTCTGTTTGCTCCTCTTCTGCTGCAGCTTCTGCCCTCTAATTTCATCTATGAGCTGCTGCCATCTAGTGGCGGATTTTAGTAACGGCATGCAAGATTATACAGTTGCTTTGCAAAATTATGTTCACCCGTTTTCCACATTTTTGGCCAATTACACCTGAAAAAATTAAATGGGTTTTATGTTGTAGACCAACACCAAGTAGGGCATGACTAAAATGTGCAAGGAAATTATTTAAAGAATAAATCTGGAGTGTGATGTACATTTAATATTCAACTAAACAGAATATAATGAATAATATTAGAGAACAAACAGCATCACGTAGACCAAAGAAATGGCAGAAAGATCAGGAAGGAAGAGGAGCAGAAGTTTAATTTGAAGTGTTGCATAACAAATGTGGAACAAAAAAAAATTAAATGCATCTTAAATTTTGTCTTGAGAAGACTGTCTAATCTCATACTGTATGTAGTTTATATTTCTCGTGGGACTTTTCTGTCAGGCAAACATTTGAGTCGCACACAGACATCTTTATTTAGTTCTGTGACTTGAGGCTACCGCTAATTAGCTGTTAATGTACACATGCTAGCTAGCGCTTTGGCATCCATCATTGGTAAGGCCAGTTGGCTGGATGATCTTTGTTTTTGCCACTGATTCACTTCTGTTGTTACAATGTTCCAAAGTAACATGTATTTTGGACAGAAAAGCTTTGCAGTATTATATAAAATATACCTTTTTTTACTTGTACATTTCTGTTGATTAAAAGTCTTATATTTCATTTCTATTGGTCTTAAAAAGTTTTAAATTTGAGTTGCTAATTAATAAATAATATTACATATTTTAAATGTATAGGAACTTTGTCAGCCATTTTCCTTTCACGTTAATGTGTTTTTCATGAAAGAGCAGGATCTGTTGTTGAATTTGTGGATTTCTTGTGAAAGCTGAGCTGTGGACTGAGAGTACTTGCGTTGTGGTTTCCAGATGCCATGCTGGGCCTGGCCGACAGGCTCGAAGGGCCCTTCAACTTTGAGTCCGTCATGGACCCCCTCGACGTCAAGATCTCAGAGGCCATCATGAACATGCAGGAGAACAGCGTGCAAGTCTCGCAGAGGGTCCGCTCCAGCGCCGCCGTTTTGTCCAGAACCTCCAACTCGGCAGGTTCTGTTTTACTGAGCCTCTCTCCTCCCTGAACAGGTCTTCCAGGGATGTGGGACGCCAAAACTCAACAAGGCCTTCCGCTCCAAACGGTCAGGGAAGGAAACGGGCTTCACTGGCCGCTTCCGGCCCTACAGTCCAGAAGCGAGACCGACGACCGCCGCCGGGACCAGTTTAGATCGGCTGGTGAGGAACCGACTGGACGACGAGCCGCAGCTCTGTATTTGTACTGTTGCTTAAAATGTGCTTCGTTTGCGCTGCACAGACAACAGAAGTGAAGAAGAAGCTGAAACACGCAAAGAAGTTCTGGTCGACGTTGCCAGAGACGGTGTGTGCAGGGGAACTGACCGCACCTGGCGACGAGTGCTGGAACGGTACAGCCAAAAGCAGGTAAGGGAAAAAATAAATACTTTTACTGGGTTTGTGCGGTGCTAGAAATCCTTGAATTTCACTGAGGGAGTTTTCAAGGTTTCGGAAGTGTTTAATTTCTGAATAAATTAAAAGTGCTTAATACTCAAACTGTGTAGTTTGGTAATGAAGTGCAATTTGATTAAAAGCCTAAATTTGGAAAACGTTTTTATTGTTGAAGTCAGATATTTCTTTTCCTCACCTTCTGAAGTTAAATCAGACCAATCTGTTGTTTTTATCTCCATGGTGTGGTGCAAGAAAAGTTTGAAAAGTGCTTGACTTCTACTATGGGAAAAGTGTACAAACCCTGTTCTTATTTACGTTTAATAGGAAACTGCTGTGTAACTCTGACAATCACACCTCTACCCTCCTTAGATACCAATCAGATGTGATTGGCAACGGGCTGGCCAATCAGGTTTCGAACCCTGACGTTGAGGTGGACATTACCAAACCAGACATCGTGATTCGCACCCAGATTGCGGTTTTAAAGGACATGACGAACCGACTGAAAGCGGCGCACAGTGGAAACGACGTGACTTTTGAACCAGGTGAGGGTGCCAAGCCACCTTCACTATATGTGCCGTAACCGATCGTCTCCTCTAGAGCTTTGTCTGTTCTTCCTGTGCAGTCTGGGAGAGTGGGGAGTGTAATTATTTTCAGAGGAGAAAAATATGTGAATGATAAACTTTTCTTATATTCAGATGTATTTTTCCATCCCTGTTTGTTCACAAACTATGTAGTCAAATCGAGACATTAGTCCTTTAATCCGGGAAATGTTCTTCAGGCGATCGAAGGCTGATTTCATAATCGTCTTTATGTGGCTCTGAAGGCTCAGATTCATCCATCCTCCCTCTTCTTGTTGGTCTGTTTTTGTTTTCTTCCATATTTAAACTCTAAACCACCTTAAACGCACAGGTCCACTTTAAAACTGAGCTGAAAACTCCAGAACATTTTGACCAATAGGAACCATCTTGACCCAACCTTTTTTTTTTTTCTTTAACAGTGGATTATACTAGCGGAGACGGCGAGAGCGGCAGCGGCTGTGACTCCCCGTCGTGTGGCGAGGACGACATCTACATCTCCACCGCGCAGAACCCGGAGAAGCCCAGGGTCAATACGGTGCAAAAAGACTCATCGTCGGCGTCCTCACGGGGAAGCCTGGCGCTGGCGCTCTGGGGGCTGGCCCTGGCCCTGCTCGCCCCCCACTGGAGATAAAAGACCATCAGAACGGGAGAGGAAGAGAAGATCGACCAGGATTACAAGAATGAAGGGGAACCCTGTCAGAGAGACTTTAAAAAGACTTGCCTTCAGGACCTCAGACTGGGGCGGATGAGGGAGGGGGGAGGGAGACTCTTCTTGATATTACAATAACTTCACTATTAACTATTTGTATGTTTGTAAGTGCATCAGTGTATGGCAGGGGGATTTTTAGTCTGAAAAATCCACCTGTTTTACCCCCCCACCTCGCAATTTCATAAACTTCCTTTAGGTTCTGCTTGCAGCGTTACAGACATATAGCAAATAGTGTCTTTTTATTTTCTCCCCAGCGATATCAATAACAGTTAATGATTGGTTGAACAAGAAGTGCCTGTATTGAGGCATCTTCATATTTCTGATGATGTTCCTGCTACCCATCACTCATGGATCATTCATACAACATGCAAACTGTGAATTATTCTGGATAATCAGCCTGTCAAATCATGATTTTTTTTTTACTCAAGCACTCATCACTCAGAAATACAAGAAGATGTTGCAACACAGGTGTTCAACTTCCTCCCGGCGCTCGTTTGTTATTGTACATCAGCTTATCGGCTTCATAACACCCTAAAGCTTCCCTCTTTTTTTTTTTTTGGCTTGATTTGTTTGTGTTTTTTTAGTTCCACACCTTGCACAGCTCATCTCATACCTCATGAATACTCTCAATGCAAGCCGGTGATGCGGAGTCAGTCCGGGAGAGCCGGTCCCGTTTCCCCTGGTGACAGCCCAGAAGAAGGTGGCGAGTCACGCCGCCCCCCCGCTGGTTGAGTTAGCTCAGTTCATCACAAGGCAGTCCGGCTCTGCAACTATCCAAGTCGGGAGAAGTCGGAGCATTTCTGAGGATCAACCGGAGAGCATTTTGATCAAAAAAAAAAAAAATCTGTAAAGTTTATTACAGGGTTTTTTTAATTATTATTTTTATTTGGTATGAAAGAATATATTTGGTACTGTGGTAGATTTTACGGAATTCGTCCCACGTCATTCACTCACCCGTTTAATCTACCTACTTTAAAAATCATTAGCGCATACAAAATGTTGATGTCTTCATACTTTTTTGGTACTTTTTTTGTCATTTCTTACTTCTATTTTTTTTTAAAGCAAAGAATGTAGATGTTTTGTAATTTGCGGCCTATCCTCTACATTTCAACCGTAAAATCCAGCGTTTTGTACAGTAACTTATGTCTGTATTTTAACAGGATTGGAAAAGAATGATGTAGTATTAAATTAATCAAAACCAGATGAGCAAAAAATATAGGTTGAAAAATAATTTTTAAATCAAGTTACTACGTCGATTACATGGGTTTGAATAACAATTTAGCAAAAATTGTTTTGTTTTTTTTCTGGTCTCAGAAAGCTATTTAGGAAAAACGTAAACATTAGACCATTTTCCAACTTAACAATCTTGCTTTTGAAGGATTTGATGAAATCTCTATGCAACGTATTGTAAAGTACCGGAGCCTTTATACGGAAAAAAAACAGCAAGGCTGCGCTTCAGCTTCATTTGCCATTACATTTCCCATGTTTTCATGTTCCGCAAACATTTCTGCGAGGGTTTTGTGCACGCGTAGGAAGAGCAAAGTTGTCAAAGAAACATTCGGAGGAAATGTTTCAGATGACGATGGTGAATGTCTTTTGTTTTTGCAGGCCAGGGCAGCAGTGGAGTTTTTTTTTCCTTTTCTTTTTTTCGTTTTTTGTTGTTGTTTTTCAGCTGGCAGGAAACGGTCCGGCTGCTGGATGTTCATTCGATCCACAGAGAAATGTCAGTCCCATGACTGAAAGAATTAGAAAAGACAAAAGAAAAGTCGAACTTGGACAGGTGTTAGAAATCCTTCCGCTTGCCTCTGGCCCACAAGAAGAGAAAGGACTCGCTCTCTGAGGAAGAGGGTGACTGACTGACTGACTGAAAAGTATGAATGATGTGTAAATAGAGAGCAGCCGTTTCTAGATGTCTCTAAAAGAGGCCTTAACAGTACACCAGATTTTTACTTGTCAGAGTAAAAATAAATGTTATGGAAGAAAACGAGATGAGATAGATGTTAAATTGTAAGAGAAAATGTATATTAAACATTTCTTAGTCTTGTGGAAATAAAGACTGCCAATATTTAAGTGAGTGTGAGTTGTCTTTTTTTTCTTTTTTTCTTTTTGAGTTTTCTCTGCTGCTCTGAATCACATGACGTGTATATTGTGGCAGGGCTGGACTGGCGGCCATGATTATTTACGTTATGCGAAGGTACACGATATACCTAAGATATACGAGAACGTGTTTGTTAAAAATTCAAAAGTAAAACGCAACAGCCTACAAGGAAGACGATAGTCATGCCGTACCGGAGTAATGGTAAAAAGAAAAAAAAGATTTAATTAATGGCGGCATAGCGGAGGCGCAAGGTAGAGCAAGCGACACATCGACGGAGGCATCTTGGGAGAAATGGCCACAGCGTCACAATTCTCATTTAGAAGTGAAAGTTTAAACTTTAATAGCACCAGGGACTATCTGCAGACATTTCAACATTCTTTAAACATGACTGCAATTATTTAAAAATAAATTAACTTTGAGATGGAATGCTTTAAATTTATATACAACAGACATAAAAAAAATAATAATAAAAATTGGATGTGATGTAGCCAAAAATGTTTATCAGAATTTTAATTTTAAGGTGGTAGAGTACAGGCTTTTGATAGCCTTCTGGGATGTCTTACAGATTTGCATAGAAAAGGAAGAAATACACATCTCCAGGTTCAAATATTGAAATATTCAGGTAGTGAAAGCTTAGTGATAAAAATTTATAATAAAAGCATTTTTATTTGTGGATTATAATATGTTAAACCTAAACAAAGCAAAATATAGACTTCTTAAATTTAATCTGCAGTCTTTCCTGCAATTACCATGCCCAGTAAAATGACATCTCATGGTGCTGCTTATATTAACTAATGTATTAGAAATTAAAAACTACTTGTACTGGTCTAGATGACTTGTGGATTATTAGCAATATCACTGACCACCTTCCAGTATTTATTGTACAAACGCATTCAATAAATCAGAATATCACTGAAAACCCAATTTATTTCAGCAACTTTACTACAAAACAAAACAAAATAGAAACACATTATATAGATTACACGCAGATGGATGTTTGAAAGCCCTTTTTCTGTTAATTATGATTTGAAACGGCATAAACAGCTTTTTGACACTCCCCATGCGTATTTTTGCTTCAGGGCATTTTTTTAGTGTATTATCTCTGACTGGCTCGAGAGGACGGCGCCGTGTTGTGTGCATCACCCTAATCTGTCCGGCGGATGTTGTGCCAGGAGTCTCGTCGCAAAAACAATGGCGAGCGGCATCGGCAGTAAGTAATATTATAATATAGTTTTTAATGTCATTTGACACTTTTAGGGATGAGCGAAGGCAAACTAAGCAAGGGGGATTCTTTCACCTAGCTTGTAAAGACACAGCAGCCTCGCTGCCCCAAATATCGCCTCTATGTGGGAAGATGTGTGTGTCCCTCATGAATGTGTCCCCCTAAACATTGATAAGCTAACGCTAAAATTTAGACGTTACTGTGCCGTTTTATCTTGCTTGTAAAATAATACGAGATACTGCCAGCTTTGTGTTGATAAGTCTTATATAAGTTTCAGTTAAATTAGGAGTTTTAATTGTCCTGCATACAATATCAGGCTAATTAGAGTATTGTGGCTAGCTGTAGCAAGCTGGCTCTGCTTGTTTACGTCAAACATGCTGCGGTTATCCTCGCGTTTTTCTCATTAAATTGGCAGCTTCCGTTACTACTAGTAATAGTAGCCGTTTTACACCCTTACGAAGTTTAATTTTAATCAGAATCTAAATTCAAGTTTTATTACTGGTTTAGTTCGTTCTGCACTTACAAATAAAACATGATGGATATGCAAGCTGGTAGGAACCAATGCCTGTCAGAAATGAACAAACATGTTAGATGTTTGTAATTTTATAATTAATTATTTAAATTTTTATTTATGTATTTATTTGCTTCAGAACACAAGATCCTGAATGTGGGACCCACGGAGCCCTGGTCCATCAGGGAGAAACTGTGCCTGGCGTCATCTGTGATGAGGAGTGGAGACCAAAACTGGTAAATCGATCAAAGTATTTGTCACTTGTAGTAAATTTCTTCCTTATCAACCATATATGATCAGAAATGTAAGAGAGAGACAAGGTCCATCAAGACGGTGCTTAGTCAAATTGTCTGGCTATTAAAACAGGTGATATAGTGGGAAACTGAGGTGTCACAGATATTATCCCTAACCAAGGTTTCCCTGCTTATATTAATTTGAAAATAAACACTCCAAAATGTCAGCACATGGATGCAACAAGCTATTTTACAATATTAAGAGTCAAAGAGGACTTAAATGATCTGAGTTGATATTACTGCCCGTGTTCTCATTGCTAAAAAATAAGTGTTTTATTGTTCTCATTGTTGGGTAATGTAGTCATTATTTTTCTTTTTTATTTCTAAGATTTTATTTATGTACTTATTTTTTGTTTCTACTGTGTGCTGTGCTGGGACAAAACTCTTTCGAGATGAATAAAGTGTCATTATCTTATATTTTTGTCTTATTTGTCTTCCAGGGTGTCTGTGAGCAGAGCCATCAAGCCTTTCTCTGAGCCTGGTCGTCCTCCTGACTGGTTCTCTCAGAAGGTGAGAGAGACGATAACCCTCTACTTTCTCCCTCTCTTCTCATCTCCCAGTCTCTCGTGTTGAATTTTATTCTTTTTAGCCAACTTAGCTAATTTCCTGTTTTGCTTCTCAGCACTGTGCCTCACAATATTCCGAGCTGCTGGAAGCTACGGAAGCTCCAAAGTGAGTCCTTCGGCCCGGTGGCTTCACCGTTGCAGAATATGATTTCTAACTTTTCTGGCTTAAAGCGACAGTTGCTCTAACACATTCTCGTCTTGTTCTAGGCGTAAGCGTGGGGAGAAGGGCGAGGTGGTGGAGACCATTGAGGATGTCATTGTCCGCAGGCTGACCACTGAAAGAATCGAGGAGCTAAAAAGGCTACAGAGAGACACGCAGGAGCAGTACAGGTAGGTGTATATACTGATACACAGTGTACTGATTAGTGCATTAATTCAAAGTTACTGCTTTTTTACAATAAACGAAACTAAGTGTAATAGAAACTCATGATGGCTCATTAAAATGATTTCCTCTGTACTTTTTTGTCCTTGTCCTGACAGGAAGTTGAAGAAGGAGGTGGAGCTGATCCAGACGGGTCACATGGACTCCCAGCTCAAGGATCTGTGGGCAGAAATCACACAGTGAGGCTCTTCCTTCTTTAGCCCCTCCTGCCTTGTTTTCTTCTGATTTCTGTGGCCTAAAATTCCTGATTTTTGCAGCACCATTTACAAAGAGTTGCAGTCAAATTTCCTATTTGTTTTATGTTTATTTTTAATAATCATTAATAATCAAAGTGCAATAATATTTTATAATCATTACTGATATAAATTTGTTATAAAAGTATTACTGATTGCACTTTAAAAATTAGCTAACTTTATGTTATTAAAGGTAAAGTTTAAACAGTAATGATTTCTTGGTTAATGTCAAGTTGTCATAACAAAGACATTTTGAATAATGTCAACTTTGTATTAAAAGTGTCATAATTTACCGAATGACGCTTTATGACAACAGTCATAAATATTATGTCATGTTTATGAAAGTGTCATGAAAGTCTTATTCAACCCCCTTCAAATAAAGTGTTACCAAAATTTCTTTAAATATCTGAAAAGCAACAGTGAGCACAACTTCTATATGGAAATTAAAGGGGATCGGGTTTCACTACAAAAACACAAACTCTTACCAAGTATCTTTGGTCTGGTTTCTAGTGCAAATATCTTAAATACTTGAAATAAGACAAAAAACTAACTTGCAAGTCACTTTTCTCTACCTCTACCGCTTCTACTCCTAAATTCAACTTTTCCAGAATTTTCAGTTCGTTTTCCAGCAGAAGTCCTCACCCTCAGCTCTAAAGCAAGGCTGATGTTACCACAATCTCTAAAACAAGCTAGCCGTCCTCATTTCCTTTTGGCACGCCTCACATTTTAAACTTTGTGTTTGTTTTTCAACTCCAGAAAGAAGAAGCAGGAGGAGGAGGAGGCAGAGCAGAAGAGGAAAGCCACAGAGATGGCGTACCAAGGTAGGTCCAGAGCGTTGACCGTAAACGCCGACTGATCAGCCTTCCTGCTGCTTCCACTGGATTTAAGACGGGAAGCTGCAGGCCGCGGCTGCAGCTCGGTTTGTGTCGCAGCAAATTAACCTGAAGTCACACAATGAATTCTCAGAGGAAGGATATAAATACTCCAGATGTTTTGTCACGTGGACCAAAATTGTCAAGTCGAAAGAAGTCATGGGGCGAGAAGAAAATAATGAAATAAAATCAACAAATGAAGCAGGCTGATTTTTAAAATTAATTAATTTATTTATTTATGTTTGTTATTAAAAACAGGATTTTGGTCACTTTCTTTCAAAATGCTTACTAGTATTTAGCCGAGTTTAATAAATGAATTAAAAGCTGATTTTTGGGTGCAGCAAAGTCGACTTCTCAGTGAAAGTGTTTGAATGGACGCGTTTCTACTGCTTATAAAAGTTTGGTTGCAAAAAAGAACAGGAGCTTTGTTATACTGAACATTTTCCTTTGCAAGAAAACTGTCAGTAATAATTTTATACTAATTAAAAACAAAACGTTTAATAAACAAATTTGGATCTTTTTTTTAAAATGCAGTATTTTAACCAGGTGAAGCTAAAATTAGGCCATTAAGGAGTTTTAGGTTCATCATGTTTACAGACCTTTTTTTTTTTTTATCTTAAATGCAAATTGTGTGCTTTTTTTTTATTTTATTTTTTTTAGAGTTTTGGATTAATTGCTGCTCTGAGTGTGTTTTTCCGTCAGCAAAAGGACTTTGGTTGAATGTGTGAACTTCTGTTAACAATTAATTGATTACTAATTTAGCTGACGATTATTCCAATAATCAATTCATCACGATTAATACGATTAATCATTTCATTGTACCGGGATGTATTGCTTCATGTCTCCTTTAGTCTGTGTGAAAAATATTTATTAATGATCCATGACTGATTATTAATGTAGCAGCTTGTTGAATTCCTCATGGATAGATCTGAAGTCGCTCCTTTCTGCCCGTGTGTGTCACACAGCGCGTCAGGCGATGAAGAACACGCCGAAGCGCCTCCCCAGCGTGACGGTCCGCTCTCCCCTCGGGGCCAGCCCCTCCACCCACGACGCTCAGGCGGACTCCGCGGTCCCCACGCCACCCATGGACACCGAAGGCGTCCCCTCGGAGGACACCGCCGTCCACTCAGCGGTAGGAAACCATTCAGCCGGGCGTCAGGTGTAAATTTGCAAGAGACTCGACAAAGACGAGTGACTCCCTCCGCCCGTCTCCGTCAGGCTCAGGGTGTGGGCGTGTTCCTGCCGGCCGCTGAGCCTCCCGTGTCGGGACCAAAAGACGGAGGCCTGGCTTCTCTGGCGGAGGACTCTCCTCAGAAGAGACTCCCGACGCAGAAAGCCACGCCGCCACCGTCGCCTCTGTTATCAGAGCTGCTAAAGAAAGGAAACCTCATCTCAGCCAGCCCACGCCTTGTGAGTGCCAACAAAACAACAACAATCACGAAACATGCTAGCGATTAATCTGATCTGAATTGGCACATTGTGGATTAGTTGTTTGACAGTTTTGACTTATATTAATTAGTCTGAATGAAATTATTTCAACAACTTTTGGAAGGAAAGGTGTGTAAATGTCAGGATTTGTGTTTGTTTCTATATTTAGCCTGGTGTATTTGATGTATTTTTCGGCATCAGGTATCTGAAGGAGAAACGACGACGAGTTTAACCAACGGTGTGCAGACGGCAGCTGCAGCTGCTGTTTTAGTCCCCGGTCATGAAGTCTTCACCGGTAAGCAGAATCAAATGGATGCAGAGGCATTTTTAGCCCAGTGAGGAATCAAGGAACTGTATTGTCATACCAGCTCATATGGTACAAAACAGTACAAAATTCAAACTCTGGTCCCACTTTAAGAAGCATAATGAATACATAAATAGTTAAAAAATCACTTCTAAGATAATCTACTATGAAGCTAACAGCCAGTCCCAGAAGACCAAAGATTATTTAGCAACTCCAATGCCAAAAATGTCATGTTTTATGAATCCTTAAAACCATAGTCATGTTAGCATTCAGTTCATGTTTTTTTTAATTATGAGCTGATAATTATTTACACTGGAGATGGAGGTTAGAGGTCACTGGTGCATCACCAGTGGTTTTCCTGCTTGAAACGCTTGCATATAAAATGTTTCAAGTAGGGCAGAGAGATGTGGTTTTAAAATAACATTTTACATTTTTTAAAACAAAACTTTTTTTTTTTCCGATTTTAGTCGCACAAAAAAAATGTCCTCACTTTTCTCAGAAAATATCTTTAAAAACTGGCTTTTATTACAGTAATTACTTTTGGGAGTTGATCTGAATTCAAAGTCAAAATTAATAGAAGCTGTAAAACACGTTTGTCAAGCAAGATGGTCGTTCTTTGGTGGGTTAACGTCACTCTGGAAACACAGGAAGTGCATCGGTGAGAAAAAAAAATCCTTATTTTCCAAAAATTACATTTTCAAAAACAAAAAAATTGCTTAATTGATCAAATTGATTAATCAAATTTGCTGTATAATACAAAATATTCTAGTGATTTAAGTGAGATGCTGTTTTATTTTCTTACTCTGATCAGAAATGAGTCACATGCTTGTTCTCAGGTCATGTTTCACACAGGAAGATCATCGGTGACGCGCAACCTCCAGCTTTCATTTCCTGTGTAAATAAATATCAGTTTTTGAGTAAATAATCACCTTATGTAAACATGTTGAGAATTTAAAGGTTTATAAAATAGTGTTGACATAAACCACTCTGAAGTTAAGAGTCTGTAGCTGTGTAATGCTGGGAGAGGTGAACTCTTTCTACTGAGTCCAGTAATTTAACCTCACTTCAAAACTCTTGAACTAATCCTTCAAGGTACTTCATAAATCAAGTGAATACTTCCTGCTTTGCTTATTTCATAGCATGATTATTGTTGATAGATTATAGTTTGATACTATCATCTATCAAACCCTTCTTGTAGTTTGGATTTGGCTGTTTTCATTTGTGATTTTAGGATAAGAATAACAAAGCAGCTTGAGTGGGTCTAGTTTGACCTGCTAGGTAATCAGAGTGAATTGAATAAAGTGTAAGCGTATTTGCATTTGTTGATACTTTAACGTTTGTTTGCAGAAGGCGATGCAGACGCGGCGGTGAAGGCAGAGCTCAGCGAGGAGACGGGGCTGGCAGAAGAGGATCTGGTAGCTGTGTCATACATGGGGGACGAGCTGGACCTGGAGACGGTGGGAGACATCATCGCCATCATTGAAGAGAAGGTCTCTGTCTCTCACAGAATAAATGCTTTCGAGACCAAGACAGTTTTACAATGGCAACGGAATGGGTTTGAGGGATTTAGGTTTGTTGGAGTTTCATCATTTCTTGTTTACACGACGTGGCTGTTTGACCCTGTTTGACCACGTTCTCAGTAGAACGGTAAAAAAATAACAAAAAAAGAAACAAGCAATCCAAACAGTAAAACAGTAATGTGTAACATATTAGCTCTGGTTGAGTCATTAGGTTTGAAAAAACTAAAACGACGTAAAAGATAAATCATGCCCAAAAAACTTTATGAAAGTCATACGTTCTCAAACTTTTCTCATGGGGGAGAAGACAATATGATCACAGAGTCCCTTCCAAAAGTATGTGTACTAGGGATGCAAAAAAAATCGAGTTACAATTCATATTCGGTTATTGGTTTATTAGGTAGAAATTGGTTCTAATCGATTAACAAATTAAGTCCATGAAATCTTTTAGGGTTGTAGTTTGGCCTGCATACAGCAGAGGGCGACGCAGGTCATTCTAAAGCGGGGCTAGTTGTAAGAAAAACAAAGATGGCGGCCGTATCAGAACAGAAAAGAGAAATGGACTTTTTGGACGTAGCAGGTCCAAACAGAGTCTGGTGAGGGATGCAAAATGAAAAAATTAAAATTTTGAAATTAATCTTAGAAATATTCTAGAGAAATCTTGAAACCTTATGAGGTCTAAAAGTCAGAAATTTGTGAGAAAAAAAAAACAGAATTTTTTTAATATCAGAAATTTTCTAGGAAAAACATGTAAATTTTTGTACCCCAAAAGTCAAAAATTTCCAATAAAAAAAAAATTCTCTTTTATTTTTTTTCTAGAAAATTCTCGTTCATAGCTCCTTTCTTGTTGATTCACTAGCAAATTGAAGGAAACTAAAGCCAAAAAAAAAAATCCTTAAAAGAAATAATTTTTCTTTTTCTCTGTCGGTTATCGTAGGTGGACGACTCGGTGGAGGCTTTAGACGCCGCCGCTGTGGAAGCAGCTCTGTCTCTGTGCGAGGAAGCCGTCTCAGAAGGCCACACCCTGCCTGGGCCATGGGAGACCCAGGACCTGAAGCCGTCGGAGCCTCCGGTCCAGCACGCCGCCCCGGTTCAGGAGAACCAGGACGCCTCGGCTGCACTAGCTCCATCTTCCGGCGCCCCGGAGACGCAGAGCCAGCCCAACATCAAAAGGGAAGAACAGTTCAAGGGAAGCGGCGAGGGAGCCGAGGCGGCAGGAAGCGACATCAACTCTTCGCTGGCATCTGACGACGGCACGGCAGGAAGTGAAGTCACAGAGGAGGCAGTGGCCGGCACGAAGGAGGCCGCCGAAGCTACTGTGAAGACTGAAGGAGAGGACTGGAGTCAGCCGGAGCCCAACCCTCCCTGCCTCGGTGGGGAACACGCCTGGATCTTTACACTCGCAAATAAAGCTCATGTTTGTTTGTCCTTTGACTGACTTTTTTTAAACTTCTTTTCCTTCTGCAGACTCAGAAGACAGCTCCGTGTCTGGGAAAGAGTCCAAGGTAACCCACATCAACATGCCAGCATGCACCGACGGCTTTTATTTAGATGGAAAACTCGACTCCGTTTGTTTTTCTCTGGAGGTGAAGGAAGAGGAGGGAGGGAGCGAGGGCGACCCGGACGACGGGATGGAGCTGAAGGAGGACTGCGGGGAGGGCGAAGGTCCGTACCTGTCCGAGGTGGAGCGGGCCGCCAGCGAGAGCGAAGACGGCTACGGGCCGACGTCCCAGCGCTACACCGTGGATTCCCTGGCCAGCAGCCCAGCCTCCTCCTCCCAGCTGTAGGTGCACGGTCAGCCGACATGCCGAGCAAAAACAAAACATTAAAAACTCTAATCGGACAGATTACACAAGAAAAGTTGCACTAATTTATAAAATCTAAATCACAACAAGCTCGTTGTTTTAAATGCTTTTGGCACCTTTCCATAACTGCGTTTTCATTACAGATATTCAAAAAACTTTGTCGATATTCGGCTAGTGTTGAAAAAACACCATTTCGCCATTGCAGATTTCCCATTAAATAGTAAACAGCTAAAATCACAGGTGAATACGTTTGTTCATATGATATTTCATTTTCCTGTCGTCTTCTTCATGGTTTGTGCCAATAATAACATCCGGTTTTTGATCACATGCCTGATGTTTCTAATGCAGTTTTGCAAAATAAACCAATTTCAATTTGGTCGAAATCCTGGTGCAAAAACATTTTATTGGAAAAACGACAAAATTGGAGAGTTTCTATTAAGCAAATTTATTTTTGAAATGTCAAGTAAATTGGCATTTACTTGACATGACCAATGGTAACGCAGCTGGTGTTCCACGTCATATTTCCAATTACTGCTGTGTAGAGCTGGACGACTACAGCTTAAAAATACAATATTCAAATAACTATTTCTATCAATTATCATCCGTAAAACTTATACCAAAGTATAACTTCACAAGTTGCTCAATGTTCTTAATTTTATGTGTTGGAGTAAAACACTCTTGTCTCACAAGACGGCGGCTCCGTTGTGCTGACATCACTCTGAACCTTGGAAATCCAAGGAGTTGATTGGTGGGGGGAAAAAATCCAGATTTTCCCAAAATTAAATCTTCTCTCTCTCTCTCTCTTTCTCTCTCTCGTTCTCGTTCATCAGCTCCACATGTGGTGAAGACCAAGAGGCCGTCCAGGCTCAGAAAATCTGGAAGAAAGCCATCATGTTGGTGTGGAGAGCAGCAGCCAATCACAGGTGATGCTTGTTTTCAACCATAGTCACTAAATACACTTCCAGCACTTCCCTATTACCCACATTTAGCATGAGTGTTTTCTTTGTTTTTGTCTTAATTGTCAATCGTAAAATTGATTTTACTTTAGTACTAAAGCAGATGTAATGTTGGCTGCAGGTACGCCAGTGTCTTCTTGCAGCCCGTGTCAGATGACATCGCCCCGGGTTACCACAGCATAGTGCACAGGTCAGAAAACACAAAACCCACTAAAGATCTACTTTTCAGCGAACGTACGATAAACAAATGCAGCCGTTCCTACCGTTTCTTACATCTAAATAAATCTCACGCAGACCCATGGACCTGTCGGCCATAAAGAAGAACATCGAGTCCGGCGTGATCCGCACCACCGCCGAGTTCCAGCGAGACATCATGCTGATGTTCCAGAACGCCATCATGTACAACTCGTCGGACCACGACGTGTACCACATGGCGCTGGAGATGCAGCGCGACGTCCTGGAGCACGTCCAGCAGTTCCTGGCCACCCAGCTCATCATGCAAACCTCGGAGAGCGCCATCTCCGCCAAGAGCCTCCGCGGCAGGGAGGGCAACCGCAAACCAGGGGAGCCGGCCGAGAAGGTGGGTTTAGCGGCAGGAAGAGGAGGAGGAAGTTATGTGTCAAAGCGTTTGAAGTTATAAACCGTGTTTGTAGGTGAAAACCTCTCCAGAAACGTAATTACTCGGCTCCCAGAGACAGTAAAACTGGAGGACGCATCAAAAAGTTTACTGTGGTTTGATGAACCATAGAGATGTAGCTAATGATTGTTTTATTTATTGATTAATCGATTGTTTTGACAATTAATTGGATGAAAAAAATGGCACATTTTGCAGATTTTTTTTTAACTATCTTTTTATACATTAGAGATACAATAAAGGAAGCAAATAAGCTAATAGTTCAATTCCTTTTTTGAATAAGAAAATAAACATTATCTAGCCTAAAATGCAACTTTTAGTAAATCTGGATGACGTGAAGCTAAAATCGCCACACAAGGAGTTTTGACTAACAAAATATTTAGACAAAGGTTTCTTTTTATCTTAAATGCATAATGTATATAGTTTTTGTACAGTTTCAGATTAATTACTGCTCTGAAAACGTTGGAGTTTTTTTTTTTTTTCAGCAAATAGCCTGTTTAGGATCTGTATACTCCAGCTTGCAATAAATCGATTATTGAATTAGTTGATAATCATTCCAGTAATCTATTAATCTCGATTAATCAAGATTAATACGATTAATCTTTTCAGCCCTATTTGTTTTGTATTTTAAGCTTAGTTCTTTTACTTTGGCTGGCAGGTGGAAAAGCCTGGGTTCATACTTCTTTTAAAGTGTAATAATATGAGCAATAAACTCAACGCTTTAATGATATTTTTCCATTTAATAGAAAAAAAAATTAAATCAGTTATAGAAAATTTAACAACTATTGGCTAAATTACTTCTTGTTACTTTTGTGGACCAACAGATATATATATTTTTTATTTTCTTTCATGAGACAGATTCAGTTTAAATAAATGTCATCAGTTTCTGGGGTAAGTCCTTGTGATGCAACCTGGACGTACGAGAGAAATCCTGACCGAGAGGGAGGGGCAGCAAGCTCAGCGAAGACAGATTTTTATGTTGATTTATGTTTGTGCAATAATAATGTAAAGTTGTTTTTATTGAACATAGTTTAACTTTGATGTCAGACCTTTATTTCTTCCATCACCATCATGATGTTTATTTTAATACCCAGGGGCGGTTCTTTCATGTGGACAAACCTCCTAAAGATGACCACTAAATGTAGACCATGAGCTGCACATCAAAGAACAACTTAAAACCTTAACTAATAGCAAACTCCTTCATTTTTGGTGGTTGTTTCTATTTATTGGGTTGTGCCGCCCTGGGCAGAAAGCCATGTCACCATAAACCGCCACTGGGTTCTTTGTTTTTTGTTCGCCTCTCATTCAGACCTAGAAGTCAGTAAAAGTTTGGCAGGAATCCATCGTTTTTGCTTCCACATGCACGTCAAAGTTGACCTTGCTGACTTTGTCACATATGTGTTGGTTTGTTTGCTCTGCTTGTTGTCCGCTGCCTCGTTGGAACGATTGTTGTCGACATCCCAGTTGATGTGTGTCCTGCATGTTTGGCTGCAACCGTTTCTGTCTCCGCCTGCATGCTTGTGTGTCCGCAGATCATTTAAAGCAGGACTTTCTCCATGTAGTTATGCACGTTGCCCTGCGTTACTGGAGCTAGTCGTGGGAGTCTGTCGGGTCGCCTCAACGAGGATCTTATAATAAAAAAATCTGTATAAGTCGATGGGAGTCGTGACGGGGATTTCCGTATTCACCTGCTTGTCTCTTCTTTTCTGTGGATCTCAGTCTTGTAATATCAAATCTGAACTTGTTAGTGTTGATATGTCATCCTGATGTTTTGTGGATGTCTGTGTTTCTGTGCTTCCTACCTGATGGGGTCCAGTCCCCCCCTCCCCCCTCTCGGCGTCTCGTCTGACTGGGACTCCAATGAAACTTGCTTTCTCACGCCTGTGTGTCTTTGCTTTCTCTTTTTCACTCCGATGTTTGTCCTCCTACAGGACAGTGTCCCAATGGCCTCTCCTGCTTTCCTTCTCTCTCTCTTTGTAAGTATTCGGGTTCTTCCCTCAGATCTCACCAGAACCAGGTCTCAGCGCAAACATCACTCACTCCGTCCATATGTGACACTTTTCTTCTTCACTGGCATCAAACACTAAACAGATACAGAAAACAACAAGTTTTATACAGACAGTGTAGGGATGCAAACAATTATTTGATTTACGATTAATTGACGATTAATGTGGTTTGCTAGATTAAAATTAGTTCCAGTCAATAACTAAATTACGTCCGCTTAGAATCTAATCTTAGTGTTGTAGTTTGCCCACCAACCAGCAGAGGGCGCAGCTGTCCATCCTTACGTTATGGCTCCGCCAGTTCTAAATAGTCCTGACTACCAGTAGTTCATTTTTGTCCTCTGTAGAGGACATTTCTAAACTTGAATATCTCTCACCCCCTGCATCTACTAAATTAATTCCTTTTGGTATCTACAGAGGACATTTAGGGCTTTTCAATGATACCACATGTGAAAGGGTGGGACTTTTGTACGTACCTTTTTCTAATTCATAAATATGGCGTTCATCAGTAAAACACATTTTATGGGGAGAGAAAATAAAGTGCATAAAACCTTTTATTACTTTACAAAGACTGTGGCATTTTAAAAAAAATGGTGATTGGACAATATTTTGTTCCTGGTAGTCAGGATATCAGAGAAACGGTCCAGAGTCCAGAGTGGGAGGTGAAATGGACTTTATGCAGTTCTGTTTTGAAATATAAACACTGTCCGTGCTCCTTAAGCGCTCATTTAGCCGTGCTACATGATGGAGCAGCGTTATCTTATTAAAAAATTACTGATGTGTGTTACGAAGGCGGAGGGTATAATGCAGAGAAAATATAACAGGATGGAGAATAAAATTAAAAAACATAACTTCAATAAACAAAATTTATTTTTGAGGGCTGTTGTGAGTTAATTAAAGTCATCGAGACAAGTTTTAGCATTCCTTCAAAAACAAGCACACAAAGTACTTCTGTGTGAATATCTCTATTACTAGGGAATTAAATGTTTCACATATTTTCATCTTTTACGTTTCTATTCAGCAAACTAAGCAGTTCTGTTTGGTTTTATTTTATAAATATGTCCAACTTTAATGAGAAAGAAAACCACAAATTTTATTTGAGATCAATAATAAATTCGGCTTACACAAAATGTATTTTTTTATATGTTCAGCATAATATAACAAATTAACCCTTCTTGTTATGGAAAGACGGTCAACCATTTTGATGCAAGAGAAAATGGACGTGTATCAATGAATCGTTATATTAACTCGTTAATCGAGAACTTGCATCCTGAATACGGTGCCTGAATCTTTCACGTTTTGTCCGCTTTTGATAAAAAACGTTTTATTGGGATTTAATGTGATGGGACCAACACGGTACGGGTAGCTGTAAGATTCTGCAGTTTTCTGGTTTTTGTTCAGCATGTCTTTGCCTTTTGTTTTGGTTGATGGGGAAACAGTCACGCAATATGTTGGCTGTTGCAGCTCCAAACACTGAGGCTCATAAACCAGCCATCATCTCCAGACACCCTCATACACTCTAGCTTCTGTTTGCACACTCTTTTATCGCACACTCAAACTTCCCTGTACCCTCTCATCGTACAAGCTCCCAGTCCACGCTGCTTTCCTGTTTTTCTGTTTTTTTCACATGCGTTTCTCAGTCTCTTTCTCTGCATGCTCTAATTTCTTTTCTTCTTTGTATCTATTTTTTTAAATCTTCCCTTTTTCAGCCATCCTTATTTTTCTTCCGTTTTGTCCGTCGTGTGGGGAGGAAGCCCTCCGAGGTTGGACCATGCCGTGTTTTTGTGCGGATCTTGATCACGTAACGAGGTCTCCTATCCTTTGACTTTCGCGCCTTGACAAAATGATTCCCTTTCTGTCTCTCCCATTGCAGGATGGAGGCACCAGGGGTCGCCGTAGCGCCATGGAAGCTGACCTCAAAATGAAGAAGTAGCTTCTAGGATGCTTTTCTGGAAATGGCTGATGTCTCTGTGGCCTGGTTGTGTCTGATGAGGCTAGTGCGCAGCTCCTTCAAATTGCACCCCAGTGCGTAGCGTCACGTATCTGGAGAGGCTCCCGAGTAGTCATTTCCGTTTGATGAAACTGAATGAAAACTTTCTAACGAGAACATTTTCACCAGCAGCTGCTTGTCTGGGATCAACAATCAACGGCAGGTTGAGTCCTGCCTGCTAGATTGGATCCCACTCAACATTTTGTATGTTAGTACAGTCTGTCTGAGTCTGTCCTGCACCTAACTGTGTCCTCTGAAAGGTGGATGTAAGGACACTGGATGGCAGCAACGTCGAACGTGATGTTCTTAGGATTTAATACCAGTTTTATTAGCTCTGCATGTTGGACCAATGCCACACAGGACCAATTAATCAATCAGTCTGGGCCATGTTGAACTATAATCCACTGGGCATTTCTTTTTTTCCTCTTTATCAATGCCTCCGATCTTTAGGCCACGGCATACATCAGCATGTTTTAGGGTACTGAAGATGCGTATACCTTTAAATTTCTGCAGATCTTTTTCCAAAGCATGATTTAAGTCAAAGACAACACTTCAGTCACAAAGTCCCACTTCGGATTAAAACTCATTAAACTATTAAGTTCAGACCTGCAGTTAGTCCTTGCCAACAGGATTTGATTTCATCTTTAGAAGTCGGCTATGAAAACGGTCTCTACAGGATCCTCCTTTGACCTCACTTCCTCCTGCTGACAAATTTAAACCTAATGACCTGAGGATTTTGCTAAAACAAGTATCTGCTCATTTTATGAAACAAGGTGGGCAAAATTTGTTATTGCTGAAACTACTCATCCCTGATCATCACTTAGAAAGTAGCCTGTGTGTGTGTGAGTGCTCTGTAAATGGCATAAGAACATGCTGGTGTTGTGTTAGTACAAAGTCAAGTTTTGTACCTGAGAAGGATCATATAGTGAGGGTATGTATGTTTTTTGGTGTACATTTGTTAAATAAAAGATTTGATTTAAATGTAAAACAGGGCAAAGTGGTTTGCTTTTTTTATTGTAGATTTTGTTTTAGCTAGCATATTGAACTGATTTCTACAAGTATCAGTGGTATGTAACAGTTAAAGTATTTCAAACAGGGTTGAGATTTTCCATCACATGATAGTTGGCTCATGTGGTTTCATATTCAGCCTGTTCTGTGGGAGGAGCAGGTCCAACCCTGATCATTTATTCCACTGTAAAGCCTGAATAGTTTCACTTTGCAGATTTTTCTTCCTATAAAGCCAAGGTGAGCAGAACCAAAGTCAAGCCTTTGACTAAAACAGCAATGACTACATTTCCTGCAAACTCATGACCAATTAATGTCTGTGCCAAAACACCTAAATGCTTTAGAGTTCAGCCATTTAATTTAAGGGATGCAACAGCTGTAGATGGATCCATTTCAACTCTTGCTTTAGATGGAGCTTGCCCTAAAAGTATTAAACTAAAATTTGGTCATGCCATTTTTCAGTCAACCAGTCCATCTTCAAGCTCATCACTTATCTAGTTTATACAGATTTCAAATAAGTTTAAGACCCTTCAACAGATGGATAAATGTCTAACAAAGCTGAAATTTCTGGGGACTCAAACATTTCCTTTCATTGAAAGAAAAAAATGCCCACGTAAAACTTTATAAATACTTTATTGCACAGTTTAAGTCTTATAAATAAAATACAAAACCAGTACACTTCAGTAGTGAGACCAGCCCAGTTCTGGATTGAAATTTAAGCATTATCCAACAACTCGCAGTGCAAAATTCTGACAATTAGTGAAATGGCAACAACAAAGTCAGTTTGAGGGCCTGCTCAAAAAGGTTCAGCTAGCTTAAAGTATAAAATGAACTTGTGTTAATCAAAACCAGAAACCTCAGTGTACTCAGCTTTACATTCACTACAGACTGAAGTGACTCTGCAGTTCCTGTTCACCATTAGCTGAACTCGTAGATCACAGGACTTTCAGAGGAGTAGAGCTTCCTCTTCACCAGCCGGTGCTCTGGCCTCAGCTTCAGCACTTTGCCAGAATCAAAGATGTGCCAGCCATCCTCCTTGTCCACCTTGAACACCACAGAGAGTTCAAAGGTCGGGGTCACATCTGGGTCCGGAATGATGGTCCCCACATACTTGAGGTAGTCTTTGCCTTCAACATACAGCCTGATGGAGGCACCCCGGAGCCCGCAGGGCTCATCGGCAGAGGAGTGCAGGATGTGGTGCCCGACCCTGGTGATCATGTTGCGGGGCAGCTGCAGCACCTGGCAGCACAGGACGGACAGCTTGGCTTCAGTCAGACAGCACTCAATCCGCCGGGTCAAGTCCTGAAAGAGGAGCCGCTGTTCGTCCTCAACACCAGCATCCAAATCTGCGGCTGTGACGACAGGTCAGAACCACTTCATTGCATCATCTGAGTCAAGTCCTTTTAACGCTCATCTTATAGGTCAGGACTAAGGAGTTTAGTGAAGTTGCAAATTTTCAGCTAAATCAGTGTTTCTCAACCCTCGTCCTCACACCCCCCTGCTCTGCATGTTTTAGATGTGCCTCTATTCCAGAACAGCTGATTCAAATGATTGCATGACCATCAAGTACTGCAGAAGCCTGTTAATCACCCAGAGATACAATTCAGGTGTGTGGCAGGAGGGCAGGGGGGCGTGAGGACCGACGTTGAGAAACGCCGAGCTCGATCAATTAGTCATCCGCCATGTTATTTAGGTAATTTTTTAAAAGAAATATTTATCTATAAACCAGCTATTAAAGAACTGTTTTATTCATTCAAATTCTATAAATTTGCATATTGCTGCAGACTAACAGCATAACCAGTATGAAGTACTTGAATGCTACTTACAAGGCCAGTTGCCGTCCCTCTCATCGCAACTCTCAACGCTTCCCCGCCGGGCCGAAGTCGACCCACGGCCCGGAGAGCTGTGATGGAAGAAGTACTTTCCAATCATCTCCACCACACTTTCCTCCTCCGTCAAGAAAGACACTCCGTGTGCAAAAGGCATAGCGGCGATATAGACCATCCTGACTCCAACGTCTCCTCCAGTTGTGTTCTCGGTGTTTCTTCCATGTAGTCAGACTGGTGAAGTGGCTTGCTGCGCTGAACGCGAGGCTTTTATACAGGAGAGGGCGGGACTTCTTGCATCAGCCCAGGGGGGCGGGGCTTAACCGGTTGAGTCCAGAAGCTTCCTGGTTCAAGGCTCACGCAACCTATCTGCGGATTGCAGCTGAGAGCTGTCACGTACATTGATAACCACGGAAAAGCAACCGCTGCGGAGCATTACGTCAGTCTGAATGCTACAATAGCGTAAAAATTACTTCGTTTGCGGGCAGCAAGATATTTTGAACTATATTTAAAGAATTTGTGTAATGCAGAACTTCCTATCGAGGAGTATAATTCATGAAATTATACAGAGCGTTTAATAGTTTTTATTTACTTGTGAAGGAAATTCGCCTGAAAACTGAACCTCGGTTTTAATTCAACTCTTCATGGTATTTGGCAAATTTTACACAGATAAGATGAAAAGGGGAAAACAATTTTTTTTATGCTGTTTCAGTATTTTAAACAATTATATTGTCAGCTTAAAACATAGGATAACAAAATAATCTTATTAGTAGTAGTAGTAGGTGGTTTTTTATCTAAAGTTATACAGGTCTACCCCTACTGTATGTTTTAAATCAAACGTTTTTAATGAAGGGTAAAAACAAAAAACAAACACTAACCACCATATTAGAATTTCAGGAGTTTATGTTGTACTTACCTGTATGGCCATCACATCTGTTTTTCTCTTTTGTGACACCAATATTCAAAGAAATCATGTTCAAAAAGTAACATTTAAGATTCTGTTCTTAAAATATAGATTTAAGTTTAGGTTTATTTTCAACTGGATGCAAAATCTCACAGTCATGGACTCATTATGATAGTTTGGCTCAGTGGAATTCGGGATTAAAGATATATTCTTTTAGTAAAGTGTGTAATGTCCGTTTTAGTGGAATTATATAATATAGTAGTTCTATATTTTGAGTCAATAAAACTAAGCTCAAGCTCTCCTTCGTTGAATATTTCTTGTTAATTTTTTATGCGTGATGAATGCAGCTGTACTTTTCCCAAATGTGAAACCTTTCGGCTCTCATATTAGCCACGTTGGAAATATACTAGATGTGACTCACGGATATTGAGGTTTGCAGTGAAATTCATCACTGTGCGTAGCGTGTCAAAAGAGAAGCTGATCACCACGGTGATTCAGAATCAAACTTCCCCTTCTGCAGCTGACCACTTGTTACAATTACAATGAATAAGGTAGCTCCTGTAATTCACTACGGAAGTGTTTGTTATGTCAGACGCATCTGAACCAAACTTTTATTTTTATGAGAGCAATAGTTTAGAAAGTTGGACTGCTGAAGAAATTAAATGGAAACTGCCTACCAATACCTTTTGGAGTATGTTGTCCACCCCATTTGCACAGCTGACGGTTAATGGTTTTAGCTAGGGGTTAGCGATATGGACTTAAATTTTTATAACGATATTTGGCAGCATTATTGTGGTAACAATAAAAGTGACTAAGAAATATTTATTAGGTCTGTTTTTAGGTAACTGTATGGCTGTGAGTTCATGACACAGCAATCAGAGCCCCTCAAACATAAAAGCTGCTCTTGAGAAACATTCCCTTATGAAATACGGTTCTTTAAGAAACCAGTCTCATAAATAAGTCTGATTTGTTTCACTAAAATGCACACACTAACTGCATTTAATCATATTTTCAAAGGCATTGATATTTATTGATGCTCTCATTGGACAAACAGTGGAGGAAATGGTAAATAATAACAATCCAAAGAACATGGAGTATTTTGTTCTTTAAAGAATCATTATTTGGAATTAATTGTGATAATGATAAATCAAATTTCCTATCACAATACAAAAACTACCGCGATAAATGATAAACGATAAACGATACAATACCCATTGTACTGTATCGAGAGTGTCTGCGAACAGCAGCTTTAAAGTCTTGTCACCATTGTTTTTTATGTCTGAACTTTGACTAGGTCATTCTAACACATGTATATGCTTTGGTCGTTTTATTGTAGCGCTTGCTGAATGTTCGGGGTCATTGTCCTGCTGGAAACTGAACCTTCGCCGCAGCTTTTCTTGCTAGGTTACATTGTACTTACCTGCATCCACTTTTTATTAACTCTAAAAAATAAAAAAAAGAAGAAGAATCATCTCCACTGTAAGACGATGCCACCACCATGTTTCCCCATGGTGATGTTTTCATCGAAATGTAAAGTGTTAAGTTGCACTATCAGATTCCCATTTGATTAAATCACACACAGATGAATATCCTTTGTAAATATGGGAATTTAAAAAGGTAACTGGTTGAACTGAATTGAATGAAATCAAAGTTCTGCTCTCAGCTTAAGGGGATGAAACGTAGAGTAAAGTAAGTGCTATAAATACTTTTGAACTACACATTGTTCCTGTAAACTGTTTTAGTTTTTAACTCTGGAAATCTTGAGTGATTTGTGAACATTTGTCCTCCCAGCTGCTTTGTGTGAATCCACGTGATTGAAGGCTTTACAGCTTCAAGCGTTATCTCTTGTTTGTGTCTAGACTCCAGGTGAAGCGAACCCTGCTGTTACTCACAACCAGGTGACTAAGACTCAGTCTGACTCAGATCGTCACTCACACACCTGACGAAGGCCCAGCAGCAGTGTAAACAAGAACCGTTTGTGTCTTAAACATTCTATTTTTCCTGGTCCATGAAGTCATCACCAGAGGCACGTAGGCTCATCAGGCGAGCAAGGAGAAATCTGCAGAGTCCAAGTCGGGTTTTTAAGCAGAAAACATTCCACTTTTTAACTTTTTATTTATGCTAATAGATCCTGTGCAGCACTGAAAACTGGCCTATTGGGAACATAGTGTGTTTTTCAGGGTGAAACAGACATCTGAGAACAAGTTTGCTCTTGTCTGAAATAGAAATATGTGAAACTACATAATTCAAACAGATGGAAACAGGGTTCTTCCTTTAAGGTCCAAGATCTGCTGTGCTGGTGTGACTTGAGGGGGAGGGACATCTTTCTCAGGTTATTCACGTTCACCTGAGTCACCCTCCTCAGAAGTGTCATGGTGGTGACGCCACGCCAGGCGGCCAATCACATCCAGAGTTACTGCAGTCTGACAAAGAAAGAGAGAGAGAGAGAGAGAGAGAGATGGAGCAGCAAGGAGGAAGTGTGTTTCTGAGGAAGTGTAGGGGAATTACGGAGCGTGGTCACGCCACCAGTGCTCAGCAAAATTCTGGAGTATTTCCTGGATATTAAAATTATCCAGAGTTTTAGCAGCTGTGAGTTAGAGAAAGAACGTGAAACAAAATAGAGCCGAGTAACATCCTTGCAGCACTCCTTGTTAAACTGTTACTTCATGATGGTCAGATGTTTTCAGTGTTGACACATCCGGTCTGTGGACAGGTCAGTTTAACACATGGATGCTCTTACAACACAGTCAGACTGTTTCATAAGCTGGAAACTAAACTAGAAAACTAATCTTGAGAGATGTTTGTTTTTTGTAGATTCAATATCTACTAAGCCAAAATACAAACAAAATCAGTTAATTATTTTTTTCATTTTGAAACAGCAACAACAAAAATATGTTGTTTTTTTATATGTAGATGGTGTAAAAATCAGTGCTTGTTTGGTTTGGTTCTGGTCAAGTCAAGTTTATGTGTGTAGGACATTTTAGCAACAACAATGAGGTTCAAAATGCTTTACATCATTAAAACATCTTTAAAACATCATGCAGTCACCAATAGTGAAAGAAGCAATAAACATTACATTTTGTTCAATACCTTCATCGAAATCATTATGCTCATTAAATATATTGATCAATGTTCCAGCTAATACTAATCAAAGGCAACTAAACACAGGTGGGTCTTTAGCACTGATGTAAATGAAATCATTCGCTCTCTTTCCATTGACCATATAATTCCTGAAATTCTGAAAATAAATTATGGTAACATGACAATTTTAAAAAAATCGCTAAATTATTTTTTTTTTTGCATGAAGCGATTTGTCGGCTGTATGTAAATTTGTGTATTTCGCAAAACCGCAATGGAAACGCTTGTTTTTCGCATTACACAAGTCACATGACCAACAACTGGATGTCACTGCTGATGAAAAAGACAAAGAAGACAACAGGACGCATGGCATGATTTTAATGAACAAACTTATTCACGCGTGGTTTTAATTCTGACTCATTGTTAATGGAAACACCATAATTGTGTTTTTTCGACATCTCTGAATATCGACAAATCTTCACGTAGGTTTGTAACGGAAATGCAGTTACTGTTTCGGGTGTTTTGCAGTTTTCTGAAAGTTTGTTCCAAATTTCTGGTGCATAGAAGCTGAATGCCGCTTCTCCGTGTTTGGTTCTGGTTCTGGTTCTGCTGATGCAGAGCAGAACCAGAAGACCTGAGTACTGTGGTCTGGAAGATTGATACAACAGAACCGAGACAGAACCTGATACTGAGGCCATGCTGTGGAGGATCCGCTGTGAATGTAGAGAGATTGTGCTGTTTAGCAGGAGCCAGAGAGCGAAAGGCTGTTTGGATCAGGAAGGAAATGATGGGAGCTGCAGTGATTTCCATCCAGATTTTCTTTCATCGTGTTGAATATTGACTTGAGTTAAACATAAACTAAATTTCAGATGTTTCAACATTTACAGCCTGTTCTCAGGTGGAAGACTCGTCCCCTGAAGCTCATCTCTGGAGTTGGTGACTTTAAATTTTGATTGTTTGGACTGACGAGTTGATCAAACGACATAGGGCCTGAACTTATACTGGGTCTTTCTGCTCATACTGGCCACTCAAAGCACTTTACACTAGAGCTGCATTTATACCAATATGCAAATCAGTAGGTAAATTGGGGTTAAATGTCTTGAGACACAAGGCATTTCCTCTTGACATGTGACAAGAGGAAGTAAGCCTGAAACCTTCAGAGTACGACTTTACTCTCTGAGTCCCAGTCATCAGGTGAACAGACCAAAATGTTCGTTACAACTGGATCCGCTCTAAAATTGTAATTTCACGTGTAAAGACGTTCATATTTCTTGGCTGAACTTGGTATTTTCTTCACAGATTCTTTGTCTAAAATTTCAGCTGAAGGCAAATAAGAATTAAAAATATATATTTCAGGGAGATAAAAGCTGGTGGTTTTGTAGATTTAGATGTTTGTTTTTTCACAGCTGGCAGATGATTGAAATCTGTCTTTGTTATTAATCTGAGGAGTGCAAACACTTGCCCACTGACCTCGTTGTGACCGTCCATCATCAGCAGTGCTGTCTGTGTCAGCTGCTCATGTTGCTGGTGAGCAGGTCTGACCTGCCTGCTGTCGTCTTCCACTCATGTCCCCTCATCTGGAGCTCACATGCCTGCAGCCACGAGGGCCTGCTGCTGTTTTTGTTATTTTATTATTCTTATTTGATGAAAGCACACAAAGTCAGATCATCAGCATGACCAAGTTATATGCTATCATGTTCATTCTTGTATATAAAGATGTGTGTGTGCGTGTGTATAACACAAATGTGAAGTTAGCATGTCTGTACTGGGACTTTAACTCAGGCCTATCTGGGAAACTGAATACATTTTTCTGTGTCTTCGCTTTTTATCCAAGCAAAAACTTTTTAATGTCACTAAAAATGATTCATTTTAAAAAAAAAAAAAAAAAAAAAAAACTCAGTATGTGTGTTTGCGTGTGAACATGAGAAAACAGCTTTAGGTCCCACGCATTACAGACTCTGCCAAATAATGAACCAATACATTTAATTTAACATGATTCCCAATCGACATTGTCTTTTGTTGTATTGGCTTTACATCCTAATACGCTGTTTAAAAGTAGCTAAACTTATATATCTGTTCACATCAGTGACTCTCCTGACACCATGTTCAATTCTGAAGAAGAAGTCGGGTTTGTTTTGAAACAGCCTGATTGGCCTGATGAACAAGATTGTGGTGTTGGAACTGTGGCCTGTTTAGAAAGGCAGTGGGATCCGAATTAGACTGCATGGCATTATGAAATCTATAGAGTACTTGGAGAAAAAAAAAAATAAACATCTTGTAAACGCTGCCTGAAATTTGAGAATCGGTTCACACCAAAGGTAAGGTGGATTCACACAGCCCAGTTTAGTTCGCTTCAATCAAACTCTTGTCCGTTTGCCTAGAAAGTTCTGGTTCGTTTGGCAAGGTGTGAACACGCAATTAAACTCTGATGTGGGCCAAATGGGCGAACTCTGGTCAGCCTAAAAATGATCCAACTGCAATTCAAGAAGCACAGGAGGTGGAAGGAAATGGAGATTTTTTTTTCTTTTTTTAGTTTGGGCAAAAATATTACAGGCAAGTTCAAATCTTACAGTTGAAAAATGTCGGGTACAAGGAAGTATTTGTCTTTTAATAACCACATTTTTTACATTCTCTTTAATTTCATTTACACAGGATCACATCTATCTCATAACTTCTCCTCAAAATTTAACTTTGTTGCACCAAAATATGCTTTTAATTCATTTATTAAAACTGACTAAATAAGCATTTTTAAAATAATGAATTTACACAATCAACAGAAGATTTTTTTTTCACTTCAAGTAAAATGTTCCAGTTTTCACAACATGACTGGTTTTCTGAATACAGGTTGCAGAATTCAACTTTTTTTGTAAGAAATACAGAGATTTTTCTTTTTCTATTGTTTCTGTTTATCATTTATACATTTATACACCTGTAAACTTTGTCGAAATTCTAACCTACGTTTGAATCAATCAAAATCAATCAAATTTTATTTGTACAGCACATTTCAGCAGCAAGGCATTTCAAAGTACTTTACATAAAAAAACAGCATGTGACACTGAATAAACAGTAAGAAAGAGAAAGAGATTTTTGAAAAAGAAAAAGATTAAAACAGATAAAAACATTAAAACCCACACCCCTTTTAGGACTTTAGTTAAACATAGTTTAACTGGAACTCTAACCCTCTGGGACTTTAGTCAAAAATGCCGTTTGACAAGGACTCCAACCTCTAGGTTTTTAGTTGAAATGCCGTCAACTAGGTCTCTAAACCCCGTAGGGCTTTAGTTAAACGTCGTTTAACTGGGACTCTAACCCACGTTTTACTCAAGGGACTCTAACCCTAATTTAGCCATAAGCAACTCTAAACAGGTTTTAAGTTGAGATTTAAAGGCACCCAGTGTTTCAGCTGTTTTACAGTTTTCTGGATGTTTATTCCAAATTTGTGGTGCATAGAAACTGAATGNTGCTTCTCCTCGTTTGGTTCTGAATAAAATAAGTTACAGAAAAAAATACCCACAAACACCCAAAAGTCTTGCGTTTGGTGATGTATCAAGCTTAAATAATGAAGTATCGGTATCGATATTAGTGATACTGGTTCTGGTTTTACTTCATACTGGATCAATACCAAAATATCCTGTGTGGCACACCTCTAGCACAGAGCATGCTCAGCAGGATACATTTGAAAATAATAGTTTTAGTCATGAGAAGCCGACACTAAAATGCATCTAAATAAGTGATTCGTCTCTGTGGGACAGAGGAAGTTAAAGTTTTATTCTTTGGATCCAAGTGAAACGAGTTCTGCAGTAAGAGGAGGGTTCATGATGCTGTGGGCCTGCTTTAGGTGACTTAACACATTTTGGGGGGAAAAAAATAAAGAAAGACACAGTATACAGCTTCACAGATTCAATTTCTGGGTTTGTTTTAAGATCCAGATTATGAATTTCTTAAGCAGGAAATTCATGCAACAGCAGCACAAAGTTAAGTTGATGATGACAAGTCAGACTGCTTTAAGCTCTCCTAATGAGTGTTGACCAAAATCCAGGAACTAGTCTGTGGGGAAGGGCAGTGCGGTGGTGTGTGTGTGTGTGTGTTCCTCTGTCCCCGGGCTTCAGTTTAAGTCGGTGTCCTCGATGGGTCCCCTCAGTGGCTGAGGCCTATCCAGGCTGATCATCAGCGTGGGCTCTCGGCTCATTGGTTCAGAGTGGTGCCAGTCCTCCACCTCCACGGGTTTGTTGGTCTCCTGCTGCAGCGCTCCGCTCAGACAGAACTCCTCTGTGTTCTGCTGCTCCAGATGCCTCAGGATGGTTTTGGACAGGAAGTGAGGGTCATCCTCATGCTCGTCTACAGGAGGAGGAGGGATTTCAACCTTTGATTTAGGGTTTCAAATTATTCTATTTAACTCAGTAACTTCATATAATTTCTATTGTCACTGTTGGTTTCTGAAGATTCTGCAGAAGTTTTGAGAAAATGTTTTCGCTCCTCATTCCATCTCAAAGAAAATAAGTAATATCGATTCTCTAATTTCCAAACATGATTCAAGGGTTGCGGTGATGAGATCAGAGGATTTCTCAGTCGCTCATGTGCATTTCTCAAGTCACCCTTGGCATTTGCAAAACAGTAAACACATTTCTCAAAACAATTTGTACAAACAGCAAAGCACCATTTCCCCAAATCCTTAGTTCATCTCTCAAAAGTAAATATCTGCGTCACTGAACATGTCAGGGCCCTCAGAATGGCAAACCCTTGTTTCATTGCATTCAGATACGACAAACTAATTAGTCATGTTGTCGATATTACAGTGAACGCAAGAGGGATGGATGTTTTCTCTTAAATTATGTATGGTGAAAGTTTTGATGACAGTTAATGTAAATTGTAATTATGGGTGATCAATGGGAAGAGACTGGGCAAGATTCACATTTATGATTTTGCTGTAATTTGTTGATGGACTGTGCCGTTGTGATCCAGGAAGGAAAAGGCAGCACTTTAGAGAACAAAGGAAAAAAAAATGGGAACATAAGACAATCTCCTTAAGGAAAACTGTACATGCGGTGCTGTAGGAGTTACATGACATTATGCTTTCCATCTTGATATTGGGAAAATATCCTCAGTTGGGTTAAAGGATGTAGAGTCGGGCGAGAGGAACTCCACCAGCACAAACCACATCCTGATGTTTGAGTGACAGAAGCTGGCAGATGTACTTGGCATCTTCTGACTCTTCCTCTGTAACTCCTCCATCACAGCCTCACTCCTCCTCCTCTTCTTCTTCTCTGGCTGTTGACCGCGTCCAAGTCCTTGTCCTTCCATTGTCAGAAATGTAGCACTGTGTTGTACTCTGGCTGTATACACTATATACTTGCCAGTGGATGGTTAACAAGATGCACTTTCAATCTATTTCAGAAAATTGGTTGATCTAATGCTTCACACATATATGACTGACACATTATGACAACTTGTTTTATGTATTCTGCATGTTAGGACTTATTCGACAAACTTTTGCTTAAATGTTGTGAATGTTGAGACAATTCAACAGAGACCCGTTTAATGCTAATCTTGATCAACTTGACTAAAGCCAATTGAAAATGTAGAAAAAAACAGATAATTGTACATAACCACTTGCACAGGAATGTGAAACTGCTTCTTTGATGATCAATGGCTTGACGATTGAGCAAGTAGTTTTGAGACTTTCAGTTCTGTTGTGAGAAATGCAACAAAGCGACTGAGAAAAACTTGTAGAGCCAGTTTTTTACCTTTGATCAGGATGAGTCTGTAGCGGTTGCGGCACTCCAGAGACTGGTCCAGGACGTCCCTCAGGGTCCGGTAGAAGAGAAGGACCTGCTGCCTGCGCTCAGGCTCCCCAAAACCTGCGTTTCTCTCCTGGGACATGCGGTACAGAGTCAGCAGGGGGGTCGCATACTCCACAGCGCAGTCATGGGCCTGGTGACACACAGACAAAAAGCAGGGCTTTAATTACATCACAGCACAAAATTAATGATGTACATTATTTTTCTGAAATGTCACTCTAAGTCCTCAAGTTCAAAAACACGAATAAAGACGGGTACTAAAATGGAAACATGTTTCATAGATTATTTTTGCGGTATAATAAGTGTAATTATTCTTTCAGGTCGAAGACGCTGTTAGGGTGTCTAAGTTCATGTGGGTGAATTTTAATGTTTGACCACAAGGTGGCGGTAATGCATAGGGGGAAAACAAGCTGCAAGTAAAGCGTTTTAATGCCACTATTTTTGATTTTCAAGGCATATTTTGTCACTATTGTGGCATTTTGCAAATAGAAATAACTTTGATCGTAACTGGGCTAAAACAGGAGAAGATTTGTCTGACTTCACTTCATACAATAGGACAAAAAAACATGTACGTTTGTTTTTATTCCACGTAATCGTTGACAATGAAGTCCTTGTCATATTCTGTGAAACTTTTAAGGAAGAATAACAAAAGAAAAACAAATAGAATATTTACTTATTTTATATTATATTAGTAAAAGCTTGAAGTGACGACACCCTCTCATACTTATGGTGCAATTTAACCTCTACTTGTAGTCAATTATAAAAGCAGAAAGGCTAAAACCAACTATTTTTAATTTTGTTATACCTTCTTATATCCTAGTTTTTAAAATAAAAATGAAATTATCAGCTGGTCGAACTTCACACTAAAACTCCGGAAACATTGGAAACCAGCCACGTAATTATGACTGATAAATCTGTTATGAATTTAACGTAAAAGTTTAAATACTAATGTTTTCATTTGCTTTGAAGAAAGCATTGCTTTTCCGTTCAGACAAATTCTCAAATTTGAGAAGTTGTCAAATTTTAATAAAGTTCACATTACAAATGAATGAACGTATTGGAAAAGGTGCCGTTTGTGGCTAAAGCCCATACATGTTAATTACAGCACAAACAACTCAAAACACCTGAGAGGTGTTTCTTTACGTTCACCTACCTTCCCGCGCTCGTCCTTCACTCTGTAGACGCTGTGCTTGTAGACGCGGTCCCGGACCCCGGCCCTGTGCAGCTCGGTGTTGGGGAGGCTGTCGTAGAACTGGATGTAGCTGTCTTCGTCCTCCAGCTTGTGCGATATGTTGGCGTTGAGAGGAATGAGGATGAGGAGCTTCTGGGAGCCGCGACCCCAGAAGCTGTCACGATGAGAGTCGCGAAATGAATCGATGGACTTCTCCAAACCTGCACGATCCATATAGACTCACTTAGAGCTAGCTTTGTACAAGTATTTGTTAAACCCCACTGAACTGTTATGGTAGCGCCACAAACATTGCTGTGTTTTATTCGGGTTCTAGAAAACCTGTTGGAGTGAATAAAAGCATTAAAAACTTACAGCTTCCACTACAGTGAAAGATATTTCTACAACATTGTGCCGTTGCCCGTCAGTTTCTTGACATATCCCGGTAATGTGCTGTAATAATGTTCACTTTGCTGACATCTAGTGGTAGAAGTAGGTACTGCATTAAGTTAAGAGTCTGCTATTAATAGACAGAAAGCATGGTTTTCTCTCAGCAACACTCCAACTTCTTCAAGTTTGAGGTGATATTTGAAAGCATTGTTGGTATGTAACCAACATTTGGAATTAATATTTCTGTTTATTAAAAATAATTCAGCTAATAGAGGCAGCATTTATTTTAAAGAAACTTTTACAAGTTTGAGCGACAATATTTTATCCAGAGCAAATTTATTGTGCATTTAAGTGCTGTATTTTTTTTCTACTGTGTATTATTATTGAAAGTTTATATGTTCACTTCTCAGTTTCACCCTGATGAGGTCATTTTGGAGAGGAGTTTATCTGAATGTCGACTCTGACAAGGATGAGGACATGACAGACTCAAGAGGTTAAAAACAAATGCATACTACACTTCCCAAATTGTTATTTTTTAATAGTATTTGGAAAATCATTAACCCTTCTATTTCTGCTTCATAAATATTCACTGTTATGAAGTTAAATCCAAATAGAAGACTCTGAAGTTTGTGGTTGTAACATGAAATGATGTGGAAAAGTATCCTAGCGTGTTTGTGCTCTGCTACTGACTTGGGAGCACCAGCTGCAGGTAACCGAGGTAGAAGGACCAGGCCAGGCCGTGCGCCACGTTCATCTTTCTCTCCTCACAGATGTCCGACACCTCCATCTCCGACGGACCCTGCACAGCCACACACACAGACCTCAGCTCAGGAGACACCTGAGAACTTCCAAAATGTTCTGAGTAAACTTAAAAGGCCATTTGAGGACCTACTTCTCTGAGTAGCAAGAAAGTTGTTTTTACAAACAATCAGCTAGCAAGGCAAAGAACAGACACACCTGACCTCACAGTGAGTCTAAGGAACAAATAAGCAGAACCCGTTCTTGGTAAAGCGCCATAGAGTCAAGGCAAACTCATTAGCTGGAGCGACCAATGGTTGGCTCTGAACTTTGGGTTTAGGCAATGTGTCCAGACATTCACATATTTTAGTCTTTTTGATTGACAACAAAGAAGAAGCAGAAAAACTCCTACAGTGTGTGTGTGTGTGTGTGTGTGTGGAGTCTGTATCTCACCAGGACTCCCAGGGATTTGAAGAGCGCATAAAGCACAGGAACTAGAACAACGAGCTCCCAGCTTTGGCCTTTGTGCATCAGAGAGTGTCTGGTCAGGTACAGCAGGAGGGCGGCCATTGCTGCCGCCAACAGAGTCTTAGGCCCCAATCCACAGGCTGGCAGGACGTGGCCGAGCAGCGACCGACCTCGATACCTGACAAAAATCAAGAAGGAAAGCATGAAGAACGAAGTCATAGCTCCAAACAGAGACATCCACTACGGTAGCACAATTTAAATCCTCCAACAGGACAAGTCGGGGACAGATGGGGCCAATATTAACTTTTCTACATGTAAAATGTTACATTACAGGAAACTAACATCACTCTGAAAACTGCATCCTAGAATGGAATGGTAGTGGATCATGCTTATTGTTTTTAGTAGAGACAGGGAAGCTGATCAGAGTTGATGGCAACATGGGGAAAAATAATAATGGGGAAAAAAGTTGTTAAAGGTTACAAAAGACTGGAGACTGAGGCTTCTATCAGGCATTGTGTTTACTGGACTCAATGCTTAATAGCGATGCAATTAGGCTTGTTAGGTTTTCTCTATGATCTGACCTCAAAGTACAAAAGGAATATTGAAATATCTAAAGTGTCTAATAACTGACAGCCATGAGAGGAAGATTTTGACAAAACACCAAACCGAGCTGAAAGTTAGTGCAGACATTTAGATTTGCTAACCTTGTGTTTGAATGGTGCAGCAGCTCTTCAAACAGGAGATAGAGTCCATGCAGCAGGGGCCCAAGAGTCACTATGAGTGTTGCTAAAGCTACCAGGTTAATTAGCCTACCAGGAGACAGAAGCAGGATTCCCATGGTTGCTATGGTAGCCACCAATGCAGCGCAAACTTTTGGTAAACTTCCACGAGGTGACGGGATAAGAGCGTCCTCATCTCGAAGGCAATGCATCTGTCCGAAGATAAAAATAAAAAAAAGTCTGTGAGCTCAGTGAGGTACGCTAAAAAACACAAAACTTGCCAAGTATTTTGGTCTGGTTTTTCAGTGCAAATATCTAACTCACTTAATTAACTTCTCTTGATATATAGATAAGGGACTAGTTCCACTGGCAGATTTTTATTCCTGCCAGTGGAACTAGTACTTTTATGTGTATTGATGAAAAATACTGACTTATAGGGCAGTATTGTGTTTTCCAGGCACATAGTGCCATTTCATAGAACCATCAAATAACTTTAACTTCAGTTGTTATAAAAACACAGAATCTGGATCACTGCAGGTCCAAGGAAGAGCTTTGTTGTTGTAGGCAGAGCTACGTCCACCCAGGTGTTTTGCACAGCTAAATGGGAGCTAACTCCCATGCGAGATTAAAGGAAAACGGCAACACTCCAGGGAATAGCATTATAACATGATGCAAAGCTCCAAAAAGTAAATTTTACATCTTACTGCCCCTTTAAAACAAGGTTATACATCTTGCTAAAAAGTCACTTGTAAGTCAGTTTAGTCTTATTTCTAAATAAACTAGACAAAAATACTTGGTTAAGATTTTCTTCTTTTGTTGCAGTGTACTCAGTGCGATAAAGGAAGTTGTTTTGAATTTTGTGTTTTCATTGTCTGAAATCTGGTCAGACGCCACAGTTTGTGTCTTGTCTCAAGAGGCTGCCTGTTTAGAACAAAATCCATATAGATGGTGTCGATACATGGTGGTTTCTCCTTCAGCTCCTAATAGATCTCCAGCTGCAGTGGAGTTTGCAAAAGAAATGTGGCAAAGTGTGCAGTGAAATTGAAAGCTTATTATGTTTGCAAAGCAGACATTTGCCATATGTGCTGCTGATTTAAATATCAAATCCAAGTTTTCAGCCTGTAGCTCTTTGAGAATCAACCCTGGCTGCTGGAGAATGTTCTTTGGTGTTTTTCAGAGTCAGCTAAAGAAATGGGAACAAATTGTGACTGAATGGCACTCTGTGAAAATAAAATACACAAAAAGTTAACCTGTTTTTTGTTCTGTGAACATAATATGATGGTCAGAGCTTAAAGCAGTGGATTATAAAACCAGATCTATCTCAGGACCAATGACCTGAAGCATGGACAGAATCTCTGTCTATGAAATGCAGCAGAGGAAGAACTATAAAGTCAGCACTAAAATATGTATTGTTAAACCAGAGAAAGATAAATAAATAAATAAATGCAGGGACTCACCTTGGTCTCTCTGGTTCCCCTGACTGAAAGACCGGAGTGATTTCTTTACTGCAAAGAGCCTCTTCTTCCTGTCTGAGTCCGCCTCCTATACACTTTCAGTTTCAGTTTCTTCTAAACATTTTCATCTGTTTTCTGTGTAATATGTGGGTTGGCCCAGGTTGGTTTACTGAGGTTAGGTCAGACCTTGTTGTTAAGCTGATCGTAATCAGCCTGAAACATGGTAAAGGGCAGAGATAAAACACTAAATCTTATGGTGACTTAAAGATTACCCAGCATATATTCACACTAGTGTTATACAGTTTTGTGGTTTTCATTATAGTTTAGCATTATTTCATTCAGTTAGTTTTTAAATTAGTTTTTAAAGCGTGTTTGTTAGTTGTTATTAGTTATTATTAGTTTAACAGTGTTTCGTTTTAATTTCAGTTTTTATACAGTAGTTTTAGTTTTTTTTCAAACTTTTAATCTTTGGTGCAGAATTCAAAAAGTTTAAAGTATTGTGATTATGTTTATGTTAATTGTGTAATGAATACTCAACAAAAAGTACCATGTTCAAAAGATTTATGAAATTATTGTTGAACAAAAAATATACTGGTGTTTTCTACCAATTTTACTGTCGTCATTTTGCGGACTAGCTTAAATGAACTTCTTATCAGTTCGGAAGACGGATAAATACATTCATAAACACGTAAGTTAAGGACATTATATCTGTCATTTTAGTATGTTTAGTTTTATAAACTCATGATAGTTCCAGCTAGTTATAGTTTAATTACCGTTTTTATTTCAGATAATGAACATGTTTTCTCAATTTCAGTTTTTATTATGTCGTTAGTTTTAGTTAGCTATGATAACCTTGATTCATTCTGCTTGAGCCTACACTTTTCAAGGAAACATTTCAACAAGTTTTATTGGGTTATGAGTGGTAAATGTGCATAATGATGCTTTGTGTAGCAACTTGGTTCTTTCTTCTTTTTTTTTTTTCTTTTTTTTACCTAAATAGTCTTGGCGCCAAGTCTTTGCAGCGTTAAAGAAGCTGTGCTTTTAGGAGTATTTTTTTTTTATACGCTGTACTTTTTTACTTCTACTTGAGTAATTTTAATATCTTATCCCTCCACAACAATAGTCTTGGGCCTGCCTGTTCACGTTGATGCTTTCCGGACAGAAACCGTGTGAGTTTGGCCTGGCTTCCAGTAAAACGGTAAAACAAGTGGGAAGAAAACCTCTGGAAGCTGTTTTCTCCGATGCGGCGAACGAACAAGTCCATCTGTGCCGTGGAAGGTTTGTTTCCTCTTTTCCATTGAATTTCACTTTGATGCCCGTGTCTTGGAAAGTGTGTGAGTTTGTGTATCCGTTGGCATGGACTTCTTGCACAACCAAAAAGCTTACACAACCGTCTTTTTTAAAACGGTTGTGTAAGCTTTTTGTTCTCTCACCAAGTCCTCCAGGGCTTTTCCCCCAGCTGCTGATTGCTCTGACTAATCAAACACACCCTGCTGGAAGTCTCAGTCTGCTCCAGTCACCTCCAAACGTCACCGTTTGCTGAAAATCAGCTATCAATTTAATTTTATCCTTCTTTAACACAGGGGTGTCAAAAGTGTGGTTTGCGGGCCATTGGCAGGCCTTTGTATTGATTTTACGTGGCCCCTGATCACATGTTGTGTTTTCATTACAGAATAGCACAAAATTTTGTTGATATTCAGTCAATGGTGAAAAAACACAACTTTATGTTTCCATTGAATAAGAAACACAATTAAAATCAAATCAATACGTTTGTTCACGCGATAAGTCATTAAAAGGAGGATCATGAACCACCATCATTCTTCACTTCATGTTTTCTTCTTTGTGGTTTGCTCCAAAGGTAGCATCTGCACGTTGATCATGTGACTCGTGCACTGCAAAAAAAGTTTCCTGGAATAAACCACTTTCGATAGGACCAAAAAAAAAGCCTCACCTCGTCCTAGTGCCAAAACTTTTTTATCGAAAAACTTTTTTTTTTATTTTCAAAATGTCAAATTATACAATTATATCGTCAATGGAAACGCAGATTCAGTTCAAAGAATGGTACAAATTTGGCCCACTGGCCCGTGGGAATAATGCAAAATAGTACTTTTAGTACTTTTAAAAACTGGAAAATGTTTGATACAACACAACATTTTGGTCTTTTGTCACATTTTATTGCTTTCATTTTCATGTAACAGAAAGTAGGAGGACAGATTAGGTAGCTGCACTTTGCACCCATCACAAAGGACATTTATTGTGGCGATGGCAATAGCAAATCATACGAACACGTTACGAGAGGGACCAAAACGTCGAATGAAACAGCATCCGAAACAAAGGACAATAAAATTACACCAAAGATTAAATTAATAGGAACTGCTGCAAGTCCCGACACAATGCAATCATCCCACCTGTCTGCTGCTGCTAAGATTTGTGTTTATATTAAATGTAAAAACAACTGAAGTTTTCATGCTACCTCAGTCTCTTAGTGCTGTTGTGTTTTATATTAGTTCACATTTGATTATTTTTAAGTTTGTTTATTACTTAAAGCCAACAAAATAAGCTGTAAGTTTGAGCTGTGATATAATTTAGTTCTTTGTGGGCCAGGAAATCGTTTCAGCTAACTTGTGCAGTCAAATAAAAAGGAAGCAGAATCGTGTCACTTTTTTACTTTTTAAATTACTGTCTGAAATGTTTTTTTTTCATCTAAATTAAGTCAAAGTACATCTTTAATTTTCTGACTGATCTGTATTAATAGCCTAACCATTATGGTCACTATTATGTCTCATCAATAAAAAAACAACTTTTTTTTTTTTTGACGTTGTACTAAGATTATTTTGTGATTTTACTCTCCTGACTAAACTATTCAAACTAACTGTATGTTGAGTTTTTCCAAGTGAATCTCCGTTTATCAGTTTGACTGACAGTCTGTCAAGTCTGTGTTTGACTGCTTACCGTAAATAATCTTAATTCTTCGGAACGTGCGGTTCAGTCGTATAACCGGTGCTGTCAGTAATCCAGATGCTGAAGAACCCTTTGTAGTGGCCCGTTTGTGTGTGTGCTTGTATGCGCTACATATAGAGGACATTTTCACGTTGATTAGTTTTGATTAAGGTTAGGAACATACTCAATTGTTAGGATTTTCGGGTTAGGCGTAAATAGTCATTATCTATGTAATGAGGACTATCATTACATAGGTAGTCCTTGGAGCGATACAAGAACGTGTGTGTGTGCTCAATGAAAATTAAAGACTCATAATCAGTACCAAAGGTTCATGCATATTTTATTCAAGAGTAAAAAAGTGGATCGTCCCATGGGCCATGCTTACAGTGTTAGTGACTGGGGAGTCAGCAAAAAAAACAAAAAACAAAAAGAAAACAAAAAAACACAAATGTTACAAAGAAACAAGATTAACACAAAAGTAACAAAAAGAAACAAAGAAATAAATAAATAAAAGAAATATCTAAGAAATAAAAAGAAACATCAAAGAAATTGAGAAATAAACTCAAACTTAACAGAAAAAAAAACAAAGAAAGATAAAAGAAATCATTAGAAACAAAAATAAACAGAAAAACAAGAAAAAAAAAATCTGAAAAGATAGAAAAAGATTCAGAACCGTGGCACAATTTCTATGGCACAGGGTCTCCCAGGGGGTTCACCTCACCCAAAGAAGCACAAGATCAACCAAGGAGCAACGCAACATGAAGAGTAACCAGCAGAGAGAGAGATAGAGAGCTTACATATTAAGAATAATGTCCATAATAAATAGAACCATAATAATCATAGAATCATAAATATCATCAAATAACAAGAGGAATCATCGATGATGAAAGAGAGTACACGTTTTGTCCGTTAAATCGTGACACACCGGCTCGTCCGTTAAAACGTGTCCGCTGCTGCGTTTTTGCTTTTCGAACAGCGCAAATTTTAACCATGCAATCATGCTTTCGGCTGCCTGAATGCCTGTGCCTCGGTATATAGAACGGTCATTCGTCGATGCTAGTTTAATATTCGTTATTCATGTTTAATCGTTAAAAACGACTCCTGTACAATGGCGAAGAAACAGAGGAGCGAAACGTGGACTCGACACTCTGAATAAGAATCGTACCGTCGTTCTGTACAAGCGTCCAAACCAACCGAACAACACAAGTTGTGAAAAAGAAAAAACACAAAAAATGATAGAAAAAATAAACTGAATTAACAATATGTACAAAATAAATGATTCGTTATACCTCTGTTTGCTTATATTAGCCAGAAAAAAACAGAAGAAAAAAAAAACGTCCTACCATAGCAAAAAACACATAGCACAAATATAATCTTCACATTATTATCAAAGAACTTAACTTTTGCATGCACTGATGCTTTAATATAAATGCTTTACAAAGACCTTAATCCTCTTGACTTCTTCTCGCTGCTTTGGCCGCCTTCCTTCGCCAGCAGAGTCCGTTTCTTCCGAACGATTGCTTCCCGCTTCGAAGGCCGGCGACTGGCGGCCAGACGGGAAGAAAGGAGGACCCAGAAGAGGACAAAGAGCTTCACATTTTAACCCCTCCCTCACACACACGCACACACATATATAAAGCATTCTTCTTCTACTATACTGCGTCTTGCACCCTGTGATAAAACCTCTATGTATTTACATGCAACAGATAAGGAGGGGACGGGGCGGGGGCTGGTCTTCAAGCCTTTCTCGAGAGTCAACATGGAAGGGGACCAGAGGTCTGGACGAAGCACTTTGGGTGGGGAATCCTCCACCCGGCTCTGTAAGTGGAGAGTGGATACGGTGCAGAGCTACAAAAGCAAACAGAAGAAGAAGAAAAGCGAGGGCTCAGATTAGACTGCGGCTGAGGTCACCTCGCCGGGCGTCGACTCTCTCAGACGAACTCCTACGGAGTTGAAGCATGTGTGTGTGTGTGCGCGCAGAAAACCCCCCAAAAGAAAATCGAACATTTGAAATAATTTTCCAGCCCTGGTCGCTTCCTGTCCCTGTGCACCCTCCCACCATCAGCTGGATCCACACCCACCCTCCCCCCAAACGTCACACACACACTGACTGATGCAGGCACAACACCGTCACACACCACCACCCCCGGCGGTTCCCTACAAACACACGGCAAACGGCAGCAGCTCTCCTCAGAGTCCTGGTCTGCTCTCGGAGGTCATCTCCTGTTGTTGTTGTTGTGCAGGTACAGGGGTCAGGGGTCAGGGTCAGGGTTAGTTCTGAAGAACCGGGCTCAGAAAAGACCCTCAGCCTCTCTGTGGTAAAGTCCGACTAAATAACAGCTGAGGGCAAAGGGGGGAGGGGGTATTTAATCTTGTGTGTGTGTGTGCACGTGTGTGTGTGTGGTGTAATGAGTGTGTGTGTGTGTGTTTCTGCTGTTTATATGCCTATGTACACGACTGGGTAAATATGGTATCACTGTAGAGACTGCAGGCAGATGAGAGCGGGGTTGTTTTTCTGTTTTTCGGTGGATCACTGGATATTGCTGTTGCTGTCGGTGCCGTTGGGCTCGCTCATGTTCATGCGACCCATCGACAGCCCCACGCTGTTGACGGCGTCGCGTCGAGGCGGCATCCTCTCGTTGATCCGGTCCAGGCCTTTGGCCTCCTCGAAGCTGCTGATCCGGTGCTGCGGAGAGAAGCCTCGGATGGCTGCGGGCACACACATACGCAGAGTTAATATTTAGAAAAACACAGTAGAGGCGTGTGTATCCAAACCCTTTGGGATTCTGAAAAAACTGAAAATGAGACTTGAATGCACATGGCAATGGCTTTTTTCCAATTAAATATTCACATGTAGGGGTGGGCAATATGGACGTAAAGTTTTGTCACAATATTCTGTGTTGCTGTTGTAACTATGCTAGTTTCTAATGGTTCAATTTTTAGCTAATGTTGAAATATTAGGTTGATTATGCTTGTTTTTAGTAGGCCACAGTTTAGCTTTAGACTCATGGTTTAATCAACGTATAGCTTAATCAGTAGAGTATTTTAAACAATTTTAATTAAAATTAGTCTAATTAGTAGAGTTTTTATATTGGATTACATCCTTAAAAGTGTAAGTCACATATACTCATCTGAAAAATGTTTTAGTTCATTATAACCAAAGAAGCAGAAAACTAATTAGAAAATATAGAGCATAATAGATGTTCTAGTATTGAAACTGCTCATGTCTGTTTTATACAAGTTTGAAGATATTATATGGGATGTGTGCTAATTTTTCATAACCAAAACCTGCTGTTTAGTGTACTAACGCGCGGGGTCAATGGAGAGGTCAGCAGGGCTCTGTGCGGATTCAGAAAACCAGTTTGGAGGGATGGAAGTGCAGATAGCTGACACATTCAGTCCCACTGAGTGGAAAATGTTTCTGCATGAAGTAGCGCATCCATTGTTAATAGCTTGGAAAACTACGTTGAGGAAGTTTGGGAGGATGACTGAGATAGATGGATTCATCCCATCACCTTGGAAAAACCTGCATTATCTCTGGGCAGAAAGTATCGCGCTCTGCCTGCATGCGGCGGTGGACAGACATCACGTGATACTGGTTCGTCTTGGGCTTCCAACACGCGCCAGTATCATCTGAACGGTGATGTCAGTACTCATAAAACAGCCAAAGAACCACCTGGATATTGCCAGGCATAAATATAGTTGAGCTGCAGTACTTGGTCAGATTGCTGGGTTAAGACTGGTTTTTCTGTCTGGAGACGCGTCTTCGTATTTTCTCTTTTTCTAAAGGTGATTTATGTTTTCTATGTGGTTTTGGTATCTGATGGTTATGTTGAGATATTGGTGTCATTTTATGCATTCGACTGTGAATAAATTCCGGTTGATTGTGAAGTTGAGCCGTGATTGTTGTCTTTGCGGTTTCACTTTTACGCCTGGAATTAACCGACCCAGGGAGACGTGATCCATTACAGTTTTGCAAAATACGCTAACTGTTTGATCAATTAAAGTGTCAATAATTATCAATAAATTTGAAAATATGATTAAATACAGTAACGATTGCTGGTTTAAGGATATAAATAACTTCTTTATGTGACTTTTGTCCTCAAGAAGTGTACTTTATGTGGGAATGTTTTTCAAGAACAACGTGTATTTGTGGGTGTGTGAATGCTGTGACAGAAGTTGTGTTTCCATTAACCTTAAAGTTGAGCAAATTCGAATTATGAAAATTAATTCGCTTAATGGAATCATGCTAATTTCGAAAAAACTCAGGTTCTATGAAAAGTTTTTGCATTATGATGGGTTTTTTTTAACAATACGAACAGTTTTGAAGGATTTTAAACATCATTAATCGGAATTTATCATGACAACGATAAATCAATATTTATCATCACAATAATTGATAAATGATACGATAAATGCCCACCCCTGTTCCTGCTTCTAGCTGAGGGTCGGGTCAGGGTTTGGATAAACAACGCTCTGCCACTTTTACACCGAACTCGGCTCACACAGCGGGAGTCGGCTGATCTGCTGTCTGCTGGGATTGTTCTGACCCAGACTGACCATGGGTGTAAACCAGAGATTGATCCTGATTGATCAGGAGTCTGAGACACCCGGTGGGTTAAACATCCTCACCCAAAGATGCAGAGCTGCACAGAAACTATATCCTTAAACACTTTGAACTTTAGACAGTCGGGCGTTTGTTCAAAAGATTCGTTTTTTTTCCTTCCCTTATGAGGGATTTTTTTAAACATCATTTTCTAATCCTGAGGGAGTGTAAGACAGAATGCAGCAGTAATTCAGTTAATCAATCCTATTTGTATTTGATCAAACACATTGATTTTTTTTTATGGCAGTGAACAGTTTTTCTTTCTCTGAGTTCATTGAACGTCTCCACGGTTTCTCTTAAAGGAGGCTCCCGCTAAAACGATGCAGCTCGTGACCCAGTTGTTGGGTTTCATCTTCAGCTTTTACAACCTCAATCTTGAACATGTTTAATAGGAATTTTAGGTGAAATACCAACCCAAAGAAAAGCAAAGTGAA